ACAGAACCACTGCTGTGGAGCTCAGGAACCTTTAGTTAAACCTGTAGGAACATGTTCCTGTTGAGTAAAGTATCTTGTTCTTTTAACAGAACCACTGCTGTGGAGCTCAGGAACCTTTAGTTAAACCTGTAGGAACATGGTGCTGTTGAGTAAAGTATCTTGTTCTTTTAACAGAACCACTGCTGTGGAGCTCAGGAACCTTTAGTTAAACCTGTAGGAACATGGTCCTGTTGAGTAAAGTATCTTGTTCTTTTAACAGAACCACTGCTGTGGAGCTCAGGAACCTTTAATTAAACCTGTAGGAACATGTTCCTGTTGAGTAAAGTATCTTGTTCTTTTAACAGAACCACTGCTGTGGAGCTCAGGAACCTTTAGTTAAACCTGTAGGAACATGTTCCTGTTGAGTAAAGTATCTTGTTCTTTTAACAGAACCACTGCTGTGGAGCTCAGGAACCTTTAGTTAAACCTGTAGGAACATGTTCCTGTTGAGTAAAGTATCTTGTTCTTTTAACAGAACCACTGCTGTGGAGCTCAGGAACCTTTAGTTAAACCTGTAGGAACATGTTCCTGCTGAGTAAAGTATCTTGTTCTTTTAACAGAACCACTGCTGTGGAGCTCAGGAACCTTTAGTTAAACCTGTAGGAACATGGTCCTGTTGAGTAAAGTATCTTGTTCTTTTAACAGAGCCACTGCTGTGGAGCTCAGGAACCTTTAGTTAAACCTGTAGGAACATGGTCCTGTTGAGTAAAGTATCTTGTTCTTTTAACAGAACCACTGCTGTGGAGCTCAGGAACCTTTAGTTAAACCTGTAGGAACATGTTCCTGTTGAGTAAAGTATCTTGTTCTTTTAACAGAACCACTGCTGTGGAGCTCAGGAACCTTTAGTTAAACCTGTAGGAACATGGTCCTGTTGAGTAAAGTATCTTGTTCTTTTAACAGAACCACTGCTGTGGAGCTCAGGAACCTTTAGTTAAACCTGTAGGAACATGTTCCTGTTGAGTAAAGTATCTTGTTCTTTTAACAGAACCACTGCTGTGGAGCTCAGGAACCTTTAGTTAAACCTGTAGGAACATGTTCCTGTTGAGTAAAGTATCTTGTTCTTTTAACAGAACCACTGCTGTGGAGCTCAGGAGCCAGACGACTGGGATCAGAACGTTTATTTCAGCTGTAACGGGACTCATCGCAGCAGAGAGAAGTGTGGGGTTCCTTTCTCCTGCTGCATCAATGATCCTGCGGTGAGTTTATGGCTGATCAGAGATCAAAGCACATGATCAATCCCCCTTGTTCCATAACTGTATAATAAGTCTGTATTTGTGTTTATGTCAGGACTCGGTGTTGAACACTCAGTGTGGCTACGACGTCAGAAACAGACCAAAGGTGAGGTCATTTCCTGTTCTTTAAAGCAAACTTTCTTTTTGGACAGGTGATGGTCAGCATGGCGTGGCTCTTCAGGACGTTTTCGTTTATAAACTGAGCTGGATCATGGGTCCTTTGTCGGTTTGATACTGACCAAAAGTGGTTAATGTTCTAACAGGAACGTTGTCGTTGTTCTTGTTCCTGTTCCGTTAACATGTTCCAGTTAGAACACTAATGACACGCTCTAACAGGAATGTCCTCCTTGAGTTTTGACCTAAAAAAGCGTTCAATGTTCCAACAACAACATTTTGTTTATGTTCTTACGAGGAAAGTGTTAATGTTCTAATAAGAACGTTTTGTTACTGTTAACATGTTCTCTTTAGAACATGTTCTAATGTTGCAACATGATTGTGTGTTCAAACAGGAGACTCCTCCTTGGGTTTTAACAGTAACATGTCGTTGATGTTCTTATTGGGAACATGTTCTTTGACGTTCCTCACTGTTCCATACAGGCTGAGTGGAGTAATCACATCTTCACTAAAGGCTGCATCGCTGCGTTGGAGGACTGGTTGCCTGGAAATCTCTACACCGTGGCCATCGTCTTCATCGTCATCTCTCTGCTGCAGGTACAAATACTGTAACAGCACTGCATGTGTGTACTGTAGGTGTAACGGTACCTGGAGTACCTGTGTTAGTACACGTTGTCTCTGCTGGGTTCTGCTGTCTCAGTCGTGTGTTTACCTGTGATCAGATGGTGGGGATCTACCTGGCCAGGACTCTGATCTCCGACATCGAGAAGGTCAAATTCAGCTACTGATGCAGGAGGCGGAGTCTTCCCTGCGTGGGTGGAGTCTTCCATTTGTGGGCGGGGTATTACCTGCAGGGGTGGAGCTTCCCTCAGGTGTTGGTGGACCAAGTTTCTTCAGTCAGACGTGCCTTCTTCTTCTTCTTCTTCTTTGGTAGTTGCATCTGCCTTCAGTCTTCTTCAGATGATCTCGTTGCTAGGGTAACTGCAGACATGGCGTCGTGGTGAATGCGTGGAGCCTCCGTGGAGCCTCCGTAGTCCTGAAGGAGGGTGTGTTCCTGGGTAAAGACCAGGTCTTTCTGGTCTTGGGGCTCCTTGAGAATGTGACGTTGTGTTGTTGTTGTTGTTGTTGTTGTTTTTAAAATGAATTTTTTTTATATATTGTTGTTGTTGTATTGTGGCTGCGAGTTTCGTCAGCTAACAGACCTGTGCCTGCTCTGTACCAGACTGCCTTCACTTTTCCTCTCGTTTAAGAACCAACACGAACTGCAGCTTCAGGCCTCCCTGTGAATGTTTAATGAACCAGTGTGACCTTTGACCTGATTGGCTGTTTACCGTTCAGTGCCTCCTCCGTCGTCGTCATCTTCAGGGTGAACTCAGGTCTTCTTGTGTCTCTGACCAAAGTATTGTCCTCACTATTGATCGATCTAAATGAGTCATTCAGTCTGCAGAACCGGTTCAGTTCCTCAGTCGGTCATTTCATTGATTATCCAAATAGTTGCGGATCAGTCAATTCACTCATCCATCATCATCGTTGTTTCAGTGATTTAAAAGAGGAAATGAACCTCCTGCAGCAGAACGTGATGTTCCTGTAATTGGCCACAAAATAAAACCCCTAAACGATCAGTCAGTGGTTGATTGGTAAACATGTCGTCATCGTCAATAATTAGATAAAGTGGTAAATGTTAAGTTCAGAAACCACAGAAGAAGAATCCGTAAAGACAAATCGCCATCTCAGCTTCAGATCATGTGATCACGTGTGGACTGAATATGAAGACAAAGAACTTTATTGACACTGGATTCATGTTAACACTCTTTGAATAAATAAAGCTTATTGTTGAAATATTTTGTATGAATAAAGACCTCTAGCCAATCAGAGCAAACCAGAGAAACATCTGACTTCCTGCTTTTACTGATTAATTTTTCTGTTTCATCATTTTAATGATTTTATTCCAAGGAGATTCTGTTTTTATATTCAACAAAATAAAAGTTTGCTCTGAGTTTGATTCATGGTGTTTATTGATTATGAACACGTCACTTCCTGCTGCGTGTGATGACGGTGAATGTCCGCCGGGCGGCGCTGATGTCTGCTGGGACGGACAACCCGCTGAAACCTGACCTGCCTCCCCCCCATCCTCCCCCCATCCTCCCCCTCTCTCTCAACCTCCCCTCCCCCCAGCTCTGTGTGTGCGTGCGCCTCCGCCCCCCTCCCCTCGGGGGGAAGCGCGCGCTGCCAGAGCAGGCGGAGTCGGAAGCTCTCTGCTGGTCCGTCGTGTCTGCGGCTCCGCGGCTTCTCTTGTCTCTGTCTCGGATCCTCCTGGAGCGGCTTCTGGTCTCAGCACGCAGGAAACAGCGGATCTTCAGCCCAACGGACGGACGGACGGACGGATTCGGCGGCAGCACTGCGGGGACAGACCCGCCTCGGCTCGGTTCGGCTCTTCCTCTCCCCGCTGCGGTGGAAACCCCGGACGGAGGCCCGCAGTGTGCGTTCAGCCTCCCGCAGGCCTCCGGCCCGGACTCCCGCTTTTCTCCCGGAAAATGGACGGATTCACCGGCAGTTTAGGTGAGTCCGCGCCGCCGCTCGCGCCCTAAAGATCACCTGGTCACCTGTCCGTGCAGCGGCGGGACGGTGAGAGCCGCACGCGCCCCTGGCGGCTTTACACGTGTCACTGCTGTATTTATCAAAATACTCTGCACCGCCCCTCCGGCGGCTGCAGGGCCACAAACCAGCATTTCCTCCTGAAGGAGACCCCCCCCCCCCCCCCCCAGATAAAGACATGGGCTCGTCTGAGACCAGTAAGGGGGGAGGGGGCGAGTTAGATCCGGTTTAAGTTTCATAAATTCAGATTGTGATGAGATGCTGCGGGTCCCCGAACCTCGACTTGGACAGCACTGTGTTAGTGTGTGTGGGGACTCTGCAGAACCAGTACTCAAGATCCGGTTTACTTATTCATCCTGCTCACCTCCTGTTCCAGGAAGTAGTCAGAGCTGCAGGCTGCGGCAGATCAGTAAAAACCAAAGGGGACAAATCTAACTTTGTTTAAAACACTTCCTGTCAGAAACAAAGAGATTTACACACCCAGAGGTTTGTGAAGAGCTGAGAAACTTTATTTACTGAAACACTTCCTGTCAGATAAAAAGTGATAAGAAGAAATGTTGGACCTTCAGCTCAGGTACTAAAACCTCCGGACCATCGTTAAAATCGTTAATCATTGAAAGGTCCAGGCAGGTACTCGCCGCTGTTACCAGGAACTAATAGCTGCCAGACTCAAATGACCTGAAGAGTTAACGCTTCAGATCCTCACGTACAGGACTGGAACTGGAGGGTCTCTGGTCAGATCCAGGTGGAACCACATTGATGACCCGCGGCTGATTGATCACTGTGATCAATCAGCCGCGGGTCATCAATGTGGGTCATCATCACAAGTTGAGAATAAACGCTTTCAGGAAGTGATGCCATCACTGCTGCAGGTGAGATGTCAGGGTGACATGAGTCGGCCTTTTGTCTCCGTAAACCCCTTAATGCACCTGAGAGGATGCGTCCAGAGCGAGACAGCTGCAGGCAGGTGTGGCAGATGCCCTGAGGTGACATCAGACAGGTGTGAAGAGGGGGAGGGAGGCAGCCTACACAATATCCACACAGAGGTACAGACAGTAAAGGTGATGTTGCTATAGACTAAATGAAAAATGGTACAGATATTTATAGTAGTGTTAATGATAACAATCGTAATGTTAATGATTATAATAACAATAATAACAATAGGACTAGTAACAATAGTCGTTGCAGCAGAGGGTTTCGAGCAGGAACACGGGGGCAGCAGGTGACCCGCAACCACAGATCCAGACTCTACAGCTCCAGAGCCAGAAACACCTGCAGGAAGTGATAGGAGGAGAGAGGAGAGGGACGAGATATATTTAGATAATGCGTCACGGAGGTGCTTGGGCCCCAGAACAATAACTTCAGTTTTATCTGAGTTTAACATGAGAAAATTACAGGTCATCCAGGTTTTAACATCCTCAAGGCACATTTGAAGTTTAGCTAACTGATGAGTTTCATCTGGTTTGATCGATAGATATAACTGAGTATCATCTGCATAACAATGAAAGACGCACCTGTATTTCTCTGGGTTCTTTTCAGACGATGCTGACAGCAGCAGGTGTGTCTTTTTTGTGTTAGTTGCTTGAGCAGTTTCAGTGTCAGAAACCAGGCCTCAGTTTTATGTGTCTCTGACTGCCATGACCTCCGGGTCATCAGAAGAAATCACATTTAGAACCAAGTCAGATTTAGGCTATACCTCCCCTGGCTTACAGAGAATCAAGTCATCATACAGTCCACAACTCCTTTAGCACACCTCTTTTAGCACCATGCTGACTGGCAGAGGAAACCCTGCGGGTCATACCCAGAACTGACAAGGATGCCTCTTCTTGTCTGTGGCCGGTCTTCTGAACTTGAGCTCCGCTGGAGTCCGGTCTTCATCCAGACGGAGTTGGACTGTGCTGATGCTTCGTATCCACGGAGAGCCCCCTCTTGGACAGTCTGGTGTTTCACCATCTGGACGGCATTTCCTGTCCTGTATGACCTGAGAAAGTTAGGCAGAGAAAGTCACAGCTGAACAGAACCTTGTTGTGATGGTTGCCCTAAGATTTGAGGGGGGCAGGGTTAGTTAATTTCTTGTGAATGGTTGTGACAGGGTTTATAAGGGTTTATAAGGCTTTTTCAGGTGGCTTGGATCCATGGTGTCACTCTGCGCTCCTTATCAACAGACAGGCAAACAAGCGCTCCGTGAGGTAACCATGGCAACGGCTTCTGTGTAACTGGCTCGATCCCTTGAAACTGTCGTGGTCGTTCTTGTCTCACGCACACGCCCGCCCGCTGCCAGAGTTGAAATGTCAATCTTTTGCCTACAGTTTATCAGTAGACGGAGACTAAACTGCAGTTTGATCTGAGTTTCCCGAATAATATAAAAAAAACAGTTAGGCCACCAGGTCTTAAACAGGCAGCAACCTTTGCTGCTGTCTCTTGTTCATTAAAAATAACCTATTAACTTCTAGTTAGTAGTTATATTATTTAGTTATAGAATCAATTATTTCATGCTGCATGTTGCACATTTAGCTGTTGAAGCTTGGTAAAAAATGAATACAAAATAATTCTTATTATTGAGAGGTGGCGAAGGCGCAGTGGATTAGACACTTGTCTTTGATTCCCTCTGCAACACATCCACCAGATAAGTTATTTTCATGGGTCCTGCTTTACAGGGTCTCAGTATATTTTACTGCTTTTTTGCCCTTTGCCAATCACATGCCTGAACCAGTGTTGGCGTTGTCACCGATATCATCATCATAGAATAAGACAGCACCTGAACACAAAACCATTTGAACGGGGGGGTTAGTACAGGCTGACTGACTGCGTTCTGTTCTGCAGAGACACTGAAGGAATGCATCATGTCAGTCAGAGTCCTAACGAGTTTACGCAGAGACAAACCTGTGTCTGAGAAAACAATGTGGGTTTGCCTCCCTGTGTGTGTTGCAGTAAAGCAGACATGCAGACACTTGCAGCGCCTGCAGGACTGAGCGTTTACTTTTCTTTCAAACACTGAAAATGTTTCTAGCTCAGTTTATTTTCTGAAATCTTTTCCAGAACCAGAACGTCATAAACCACTCGAACCCTCAAAGCTCACACTGTTCGTTTCTGATTGTTTCCTGATCGATACTCTCCTCCTAAAACACAGTCACATACAGACAGGTCTCTGCTGGATCAGGGGTCTGTGGAGCTCTGCTGGATCAGGGGTGAATACCTGGTTTCTGTACAGCAGCTTTGTTTTATCAGGTGGTCTGAGTGAGATCAGAGAAAGCTGAGGTCAGAAAGGCAGACAGCATCAGAGACCAGTTCAGATCATGTGGTCTCAGGGGCGTCCTGCTGCAGAGCATGGACCTGAGGGTCCTAAAAGTCTTGAGAGTCCTGGTAGGCCTGAGAGAAACAGAACATGCAAAGACTGAGGGACACAGAACAGGATCACACCTGCCACCTGTAGTCACCTGTTGTTGCCACCTGTTGTAGTCACCTGTTGTAGTTACCTTTAGTCACCTGTTGTTGCTAGCTGTTGTAGTCAACTGTTGTAGTCACTTGTGATGTTGCCCACCTGTTGCAGTCACCTGATGTTGCCCACCTGTTGCTGCCCCCTGTTGTACTCACCTGTTGTTGCCAGCTGTTGTAGTCACCTGATGTTGCCCACCTGTTGCTGCCCCCTGTTGTAGCCACCTGTTGCAGTCACCTGATGTTGCCCACCTGTTGCTGCCCCCTGTTGTACTCACCTGTTGTTGCCAGCTGTTGTAGTCACCTGATGTTGCCCACCTGTTGCTGCCCCCTGTTGTAGCCACCTGTTGCAGTCACCTGATGTTGCCCACCTGTTGCTGCCCCCTGTTGTACTCACCTGTTGTTGCCAGCTGTTGTAGTCACCTGATGTTGCCCACCTGTTGCTGCCCCCTGTTGTAGCCACCTGTTGCAGTCACCTGATGTTGCCCACCTGTTGCTGCCCCCTGTTGTACTCACCTGTTGTTGCCAGCTGTTGTAGTCACCTGATGTTGCCCACCTGTTGCTGCCCCCTGTTGTAGCCACCTGTTGTAGTCACATGATGTTGCCCACCTGTTGCTGATCACAGGGTTCCAGATCCAGCTCCTGAACGTTCTGAATCAGGACCCTGAACCCCAAAGACCCCATGGTCAGACTAGCACCCTGTGTGTGGTAAAGGGGCGGAGCATAGAGCTGAGAAATGTGACGGACAGCTGTGAGATATGACACCAGTGTGTAACCCCCCCATACATGCAGACAAACACCTGAACAGTGCCCCCCCATCTGAACTTAACACCCCCGTAACAGGGCTGCATATACGGTACGTTCTGACCCGTGTTTCCGTCTCCCTGTAGATGACGGTACTTTCTGACCCGTGTTTCCGTCTCCCTGTAGATGACGGTACTTTCTGACCCGTGTTTCCGTTTCTCTGTAGATGACGGTACGTTCTGACCCGTGTTTCCGTCTCTCTGTAGATGACGGTACTTTTTGACCCGTGTTTCCGTCTCTCTGTAGATGACGGTACCTTCTGCCCCGTGTTTCCTTCTCTCTGTAGATGTTGGTACTTTTTGACCCGTGTTTCCGTTTCTCTGTAGACGACGGTACGTTCTGACCCGTGTTTCCTTCTCTCTGTAGATGTTGGTACTTTTTGACCCGTGTTTCCGTCTCCCTGTAGATGACGGTACTTTCTGACCCGTGTTTCCGTCTCCCTGTAGATGACGGTACTTTCTGACCCGTGTTTCCGTTTCTCTGTAGATGACGGTACGTTCTGACCCGTGTTTCCGTCTCTCTGTAGATGACGGTACTTTTTGACCCGTGTTTCCGTTTCTCTGTAGATGACGGTACCTTCTGCCCCGTGTTTCCTTCTCTCTGTAGATGTTGGTACTTTTTGACCCGTGTTTCCGTTTCTCTGTAGATGACGGTACGTTCTGACCCGTGTTTCCGTCTCCCTGTAGATGACGGTACTTTCTGACCCGTGTTTCCGTCTCCCTGTAGATGACGGTACTTTTTGACCCGTGTTTCCGTCTCTCTGTAGATGACGGTACCTTCTGCCCCGTGTTTCCTTCTCTCTGTAGATGTTGGTACTTTTTGACCCGTGTTTCCGTTTCTCTGTAGATGACGGTACGTTCTGACCCGTGTTTCCGTCTCCCTGTAGATGACGGTACTTTTTGACCCGTGTTTCCGTCTCTCTGTAGATGACGGTACCTTCTGCCCCGTGTTTCCTTCTCTCTGTAGATGTTGGTACTTTTTGACCCGTGTTTCCGTTTCTCTGTAGATGACGGTACGTTCTGACCCGTGTTTCCGTCTCCCTGTAGATGACGGTACGTTCTGACCCGTGTTTCCGTCTCTCTGTAGATGACGGTACGTTCTGACCCGTGTTTCCGTCTCTCTGTAGATGACGGTATGTTCTGACCCGTGTTCTCTGTAGAGCACGGTACGTTCTGACCCATGTTTCCATCTCTCTGTAGATGACGGTACGTTCTGACCCGTGATTCCGTCTCCCTGTAGATGACAGTACGTTCTGACCCGTGTTCTCTGTAGAGCACGGTACGTTCTGACCCGTGATTCCGTCTCCCTGTAGATGACGGTACGTTCTGACCCGTGTTCTCTGTAGAGCATGGTACGTTCTGACCCATGTTTCCATCTCTCTGTAGATGACGGTACGTTCTGACCCGTGATTCCGTCTCCCTGTAGATGACGGTACGTTCTGACCCGTGTTCTCTGTAGAGCACGGTACGTTCTGACCCATGTTTCCATCTCTCTGTAGATGACGGTACGTTCTGACCCGTGTTCTCTGTAGAGGACGGTACGTTCTGGCCCATGTTTCCGTCTCCCTGAAGATGACAGCATGTTCTGACCCGTGTTTCCGTGTCTCTAGATGACAGTATGTCTGGAGCGAGTGTCTCCGATGTGAACGACCGTCTTTCTGCTCTGGAGCTTCGTGTTCAGCAGCAGGAAGACGAGCTGACGGTGATGAAAGCTGCTCTTGCTGACGTCCTTCGCCGCCTTGCTGCCTCTGAAGTCTCTGCTGCATCCTCAACCAAGAAACAACATGGAGGGAAAGGTAGTGCTCACTTTTAATTTCTCTGATCTTGATCAGTTTTGTTATTTTCACTGAAATTCAGAAAAACATGCTAGTAAACCAAGACTGACAAATATTTAGAGGGTGTTGACCTAACGTCCTAATCAGTCTTTAACTGGTCAGGTTCAGTCTTTAACTGGTCAGGTTTTTACTAGTCAGGTTCACTCTTTAACTGGTCAGGTTTTTACTGGTCAGGTTCAGTCTTTAACTGGACAGGTTTTTACTGGTCAGGTTCAGTCTTTAACTGGTCAGGTTTTTACTGGTCAGGTTCAAGTTTTTACTTGTCAGGTTCAAGTTTTTACTGGTCAGGTTCAGTCTTTAACTGTTCAGGTTCAGTCTTTAACTGTTCAGGTTCAGGTTTTTTACTGGTCAGGTTCAGTCTTTAACTGTTCAAGTTTTTACTGGTCAGGTTCAGGTTTTTACTGGTTATATTCAGTCTTTAACTGTTCAGGTTCAGGTTTTTTACTGGTCAGGTTCAAGTTTTTACTGGTCAGGTTCAGTCTTTAACTGGTCAGGTTTTTACTGGTCAGGTTCAGTCTTTAACTGGTCAGGTTTTTACTGGTCAGGTTCAGGTTTTTTACTGGTCAAGTTCACTCTTTAACTGGTCAGGTTCACTCTTTAACTGGTCAGGTTCACTCTTTAATTGGTCAGGTTCAGTCTGTAACTGGTCAGGTTCAGGTTTTTACTGGTCAGGTTCAGGTTTTTACTGGTCAGGTTCAGTCTGTAACTGGTCAGGTTCAGGTTTTTACTGGTCAGGTTCAGTCTTTAACTGGTCAGGTTCAGGTTTTTTACTGGTCAGGTTCAGGTTTTTTACTGGTCAGGTTCAAGTTTTTACTGGTCAGGTTCAGTCTTGAACTGGTCAGGTTTTTACTGGTCAGGTTCAGTCTTTAACTGGTCAGGTTTTTACTGGTCAGGTTCAGGTTTTTTACTGGTCAAGTTCACTCTTTAACTGGTCAGGTTCACTCTTTAATTGGTCAGGTTCAGTCTGTAACTGGTCAGGTTCAGGTTTTTACTGGTCAGGTTCAGTCTTTAACTGGTCAGGTTTTTACTGGTCAGGTTCAGGTTTTTTACTGGTCAAGTTCACTCTTTAACTGGTCAGGTTCACTCTTTAATTGGTCAGGTTCAGTCTGTAACTGGTCAGGTTCAGGTTTTTACTGGTCAGGTTCAGGTTTTTACTGGTCAGGTTCAGTCTGTAACTGGTCAGGTTCAGGTTTTTACTGGTCAGGTTCAGTCTTTAACTGGTCAGGTTTTTACTGGTCAGGTTCAGGTTTTTTACTGGTCAAGTTCACTCTTTAACTGGTCAGGTTCACTCTTTAACTGGTCAGGTTCACTCTTTAATTGGTCAGGTTCAGTCTGTAACTGGTCAGGTTCAGGTTTTTACTGGTCAGGTTCAGGTTTTTACTGGTCAGGTTCAGTCTGTAACTGGTCAGGTTCAGGTTTTTACTGGTCAGGTTCAGTCTTTAACTGGTCAGGTTCAGGTTTTTTACTGGTCAGGTTCAGGTTTTAACTGGTCAGGTTTTTACTGGTCAGGTTCACTCTTTAACTGGTCAGGTTCAGGCTTTAACTGGTCAGGTTCAGGCTTTAACTGGTCAGGTTCAGGTTTTTACTGGTCAGGTTCAGGTTTTTACTGGTCAGGTTCAGGTTTTTACTGGTCAGGTTCAGGTTTTTACTGGTTATATTCAGTCTTTAACTGGTCAGGTTCAGTCTTTAACTGGTCAGGTTCAGGTTTTTACTGGTTATATTCAGTCTTTAACTGGTCAGGTTCAGTCTTTAACTGGTCAGGTTCAAGTTTTTACTGGTCAGGTTCAGTCTTTAACTGGTCAGGTTCAGTCTTTAACTGGTCAGGTTTAGGTTTTTACTGGTATATTCAGTTTTAACAGGTCAGGTTCAGGTTTTTACTGGTCAGGTTCAGGTTTTTACTGGTTATATTCAGTCTTTAACTGGTCAGGTTCAGTCTTTAACTGGTCAGGTTCAGGTTTTTACTGGTCAGGTTCAGTCTTTAACTGGTCAGGTTCAAGTTTTTACTGGTCATATTCAGTCTTTAACTGGTCAGGTTCAGGTTATTAGGGCCCGAGCACGACTGTGCGAGGTCCCTATTGAATTTGTAAAGATTTCTTTTCTTTTTTTTCCCCTGCAAAGTAAGCTCCATTTTGGGGACCTAAACATACTAAAAAACTCACCAAACTTTGCACACATGTCAGAACTGGTGAAAAATTTCATATGTTATTTGTTTCGCACATGGGCGTGGCAAAATGACTCGCTAGCGCCACCTAGAAAATTGGAAAAAATTTGCCCCTCGTTCACGTTCAACCTACATGCACGAAATTTTCTGGGGACATGTATCGTATCAAGACGCACAAAAAAGCCTCAAGAACCCATAGCCTAAAGTCAACAGGAAGTCGGCCATTTTGAATTTTACAGCCATTTTTGGATGATTTACACACTTCGTACTTTAACGAACTCCTCCTAGGGATTTAGTCGAATCGACGTCAAATTTCTGCTGTGCCTTCTAAAGGCATTGATGATGAAAAGTTGTGCTATTTGCGAGTTTTCGTTAATGGGCGTGTCCGTGGCGTCGATGATTCGCCATGAAACAGGAAGTTGTTGTAACTTCAGTGTACATGCTCACATCTGCACCAAACTGTACATGTAGGATGAGAGTCCCGCCCTGAACACATGTACATGCTGACATTCACCCACAGTCATAGCGCCACCTGCTGGCAACAGGAAGTGACCTTTAATGAAGCAGCCCCCGCCGCACGTTTGACCTACATGTATGAAATTTCTGTGGCACATGTATCATGTCCAGACGTACCAAAAAGCCTCTTGGAGCAATGCCCTAAACCCAACAGGAAGTCAGCCATTTTGAATTTTACGGCAATTTTTGGATAATTTACACACTTCGTACTTTAACGAACTCCTCCTAGGGATTAAGTCAGATCGACTTCAAATTTCTGCTGTGCCTTCTAAAGGCATTGACGATGAAAAGTTGTGCTATTTGCGAGTTTTCGTCAATGGCCGTATCCGTGGCGTGGCGTCAAAGATCAACTCTTCGCCATGACACAGGAAGTTGTTGTTACTTCAGTGTACATGCTCACATCTGCACCAGACTTTACGTGCTTGATAACTCTCCCTCCCCGAACACATCTACACGCCAGTACCGATTTATATTCATAGCGCCAGGTGCTATGTAGCTCCACATAGGGGACACAGGAAGTGACATATAGCACCTTCATGCAGTGTTGGAACCATGTAGCAGAGCTCCAGAATATGCAATGCGGCCGGCTCACAGCCGGACGTGCTACAAGTGTGAGGGCCCGCCCAACGCTGCTTACAGCTTTAATTACTGGTTATAGTCTTTTACTGGTCAGGTTCAGTCTTTTACTGGTCAGGTTCAAGTTTTTACTGGTCAGGCTCAGGTTTTTACTGGTTATATTCAGTCTTTTACTGGTCAGGCTCAGGTTTTTACTGGTTATATTCAGTCTTTTACTGGTCAAGCTCAGGTTTTTACTGGTTATATTCAGTCTTTTACTGGTCAGGTTCAGGTTTTTACTGGTTATATTCAGTCTTTTACTGGTCAGGTTCAGGTTTTTACTGGTTATAGTCAGTGTTAACAGTGGTGTGCCTTCACCTGCAGGTGGTGCTGCACTACGTGAAGCCTACTCGATGTCCAGCATTGCTAACGGAGGAACATCTGGACGAAAGAGAGACTCCACCTCCGTTACCAGGAAGGAGACGCTTTCGTCTGCTGCTAAGAGGTAAAACACACACTCATCTGTCTGAATCCAATTCAAGAGAGATTTTATTTGTAAGTTTAATCTTGGGGTTGTTTTAGGGCTGGGCATTGAAACAATAATAATTTTCCTCATTAACAGTATAACAAATCTTCAATATATCGTCAGTAAATGTTTGATTTAATTCATGTGACTCACGAACAAATTAGCACTTCATTTTCTATCAAGATATATATTTTTTTTTTTCAGGAAAAGGGACCGAAAAAAGAGTTACTAATCAAGTGATCCAGTGTTTGGCATCAAGTGTTCTGACCATAAAAAAGTTTAAAACCATAATTAACCATGTGGTTTCTTCAATTTTCACTGAGGAGCAAAAATCAGCCTTAAAACTTGAAAGAAATAATGATTTGACATTTATCCTGATAATTACTGATATCAAAGGTTGTGACATTTTTTTATCCTGACAACATTTTTGGCCTCACAGTGCTAGATGGTGTTTAGGCTGGCTACACTTTTCTTGTGTATGAATCAGTCTGTGTGCGGATCAGTTAACTGTCAGTGGTTGTTCTCAGCTCTGACCTTGAACCACGACAATAAACACACCAGAATTAACGTGCACTCGTTAGTAGATTCCTGAGGGAATCCTTGTCATACGCAAGTGCCTTCACCATTTGAAATGTTATTTTTCACCAGACCACAGTAATGAAGTGGGGTCTCCCTCAGCCCTGGTCTTGTCCCACAGTGGAGGGGAATCTGTTGTAGTGCTATAGAAAGAGTTGAAACACAGTAGAATCAGTTGATGTACAGTAGAACTGCTACAAAGAGTAGAATCCATAGTTTGTGGTCTCTCATGCACCTGGTTTTGTCCCCAGTGGAGCAGACAGGAAGAAGGAGACCAGCAGCCAGCGGTCTCTGATGGAGGAGATCCAGGAGCGTGAGGAGCCTCCTCGCATAAAGGACCCGTCCCCCTCTCCCTCCTCCCCCCACCCTCCCTTGACCCCTCAAACCCCCGAGAGACCGGCCCAGTCAGCTGACAGCAGTAAAGGCCACGGCCCTCCCAAAAGGTTCCACTTTGAAATCTGTCCGCTGCCTCTAACCTCACTTCCTGCTAGCACCGCTGTGACATCACTCTCTCAGTGGTTACTAACTCCACCCCCGTGGACCCACAGTCCTCCCCTGCTCCGCCCACAGCTGAGGCACCTGATCTGCTCAGGTAGAGGTGCTCCTGATGGGCTGAATGCACCTGATCCAGCTGTGGATAGAACAGGGATTGAGGTAAACAAGCAGGACTGTGGCTCCCCGGGGGCAGGTCTGAGTGACCTTCCTGCAGATCATGGAGTCTCCTGAAGTCCTGGAACTCCCTGAGACATCATGGAGGTCCTGGATTCTCCTACAGATCCTGGAGTCTTCGGAGGCCTCCTGGAGTCTCCGGAGACCTCCTGGAGTCTTCGGAGGCCTCCTGGAGTTCCTGGAGTCTTCGGAGGCCTTCTGGAGTCTCCTGGATTTCCTAGAGTCTTCTGAGGCCTCCTGGAGTCTCCTGGAGTTCCTAGAGTCCTCTGAGGCCTCCTGGAGACCCTCTTTACTCTCTGCTGTTAGATAGCTCCGGCTGGGCTGTGTGTGTTTTACTGCTGTTTAACTACTAATGTTTTCTCCTCCCCCCTTAACCTGAGGACCTCCTCATCTGCTCTAACTGGACTTTTCTGAGACCTCCCCTCTTTGGCTGAGCTGCGTGTGTTCTAAACTAAAATGTTCTCCTCCCAGCTTCACCTGAGGACCTCCTCTTCCTCCTCCTGCAGCCTGGGGCTTGAGTTTCTCATGTGTCCCAGCACCCTAATCTCTCCCTGGCTTGTCTCTTTAACTTGTCCTGCTGAGTTTTGTGTCTCTGGAGGAAAAAAACTGAGTCATTATTCTGTCTACAGAATTACAAAGTGAATCTTCGAAGTAAAAAACTTTGCAGCACATGACAACATGGAAACTAGAGACGAGAAAACATCAGGAGTGTGTTCATTGTGGCTCCGCAGCCTCTCAAGGACCCTACAGGACTACAGACTGGGCCAGCACTTCCCCTGGTCAGGGCTCCAGACTAACTGGTTGTAGTTAGAAATAAACAACCAGAAATGTTTCTAATAGCTCTCCCTTAAACGGCATCTATGTAACGATGCGTCAACAATGAAATTTCACATCGACATCTTGTTGTAGTCGACGTCATCGATTACGTCGACTAATCGTTGCAGCCCTAATGTTCATTTAATAGCAGTATACTGTTAGTATAATATTAAGTATATAAGATTTATTATAATTTCATATGTTAGTATACTATATAACTTACCACTAGAATATTAATTCAAGGTTACAGTATTTAAATTTTTGTAACTTCTCATTCTGACAGTCCTTGTCCAAGAAAACCGCTCTACGTTAGTCTTTAACTTGTTAATGCTAAGTGATGACTCATCAGAACCAGTAATGCAGAACGAGTTCAACACTTTAGAGTTTGCTGTAGCACGTAAAGTTTTTTTGTCCCGCCCCATTCAGGCTGCGACTTGTTGATTAAAAATTGGCCTTGACGAGCTGATTGACTTTCAACAAAAGGCAGCTGATAATAGCTAATTGGCCAGCGAGTCAAACACAGACCTTCATTATCTTCTCACTCTTTTCTTCTGTTTTCTAAAACGAGCTGCTGAAGTGGCCACCTGAATTCTCCTGGTGCTCACGGCAGTCAGCCAGATGTTTAGCAACGGGGCGGGGGAGATTATGGTAGGTCGCGGTCTTTACTCGCACAGTGTGCCCGCACAGTTAAAATGGTCGCGCTGTAGAGTTGCTAATGATCATCTTGCAGTTAGCATCAACTCCTTCTAGCTTCAAGCTGCTCAGTATCAGTGAATCACTGAAAGGATTGTCTGATTATTGATCACTGGGTGACTCGCAATGCCCTACTCCGGACTAACCCTAACCCTGCTGTGATGCTGACTGTGTTATTGTATGTGTGTGTTCAGGGGGCCCAGCGTGAAGCGGTCCTCAGGTATGGAGCGGTCCCAGAGCAGCACCTGGGACACTTCAGAGGAGAACAGGAACAAGCTGGTGAAAGCTGCATCCACCTCCAAACTGCTCGCCAAAGTGGTCAAGAACGCTGACAGGTATTTACAACATCTACAAGTATGCAAAGGTTCTTCCCCGTCGTCTGGAGCCCTATAGGACTTCACTAGTCCACCACGATCGGACAGAGTTTATGAAAACCCGCTTGGTGCGTGTCCTTGGGCTCCCCAGATGTTGCTATTCCAGCTGCAGTATTGATCCAGAACCCCCCCCCCCCACAACCCCGCCTCCTGTCACTTCCAGCGCTTTCTTCTTGTCTCATTCGCTCCGGTTGAATTGCGTTTTCCTTTCCCTGCCACTGTTTCGACAAGTCCCCAAGTTGTGATTGGATGGCTGGCAAAGGATACAAGCAAGCCCATATGAAAGTGGCGGTACAGAGCAGTGCTCATGAAAGAGCAAAGCCCCTGCAGGACCAACACGCCGTCCTCTATAAAGAACCTGCAGAGGTTGGAGATGTCTCCCCTTTCAGCATCACTAAAGTATTAACAAGATGGCCTGTAAACGGTTGTTGATAAGCTAGTTGTCCTGTTGTTTGCCTAACAGATGTTTATAATTCCCAAAACTAAGCTAATCCCCCTCAGAACTATCAGACCTGAGGCGTCCCAGACTGAGAGCTTCAGCTGAAAATACTTTGACTAAGGTCTGAATTAAATTAACTGATGCTGTTCTGCTCAACACACAGTACCATTAACTTTACTTACTAAGTTAAATTGATAAGATAATTGAGTAATTATATTCATTAATTTAATCAATGTCAATAGTTTTCAAGGTATTGTATAGAAGTTAGAAAGTCCAGTATCGTGACTGTCCAGAATACAGATCGTCATATTTCTTTATATGCGGATGACATCTTGCTTTATCTTGGTAAAGCCCCTTGGACGGTACCTTCTTACGTTGGCAGTAAACAGTAAAACATCTGTGATTCAGATATATCCCTCAGTTAATGAAATCACTGATCAATTTAAGTTCCATTTTAAGAACTGTCAAAACAAGTGTGGAGAGACGGGTTAAAATCGTAAACTCTGTACAGTCACGATTTTAAATAATTAATACGAGTGTTTATCCTCACACACATTATTAAGGTCTATGATTCCTCTGTCACCACTCATGTTCACTTCCCATAATTCGAAAATGATGACTTACTATTCAACATTAGAAAAGATTACAGTCTCCATACTTTCCAGGAAATACAGCAGCAGTTGAGCAGTCTGATCTGCTTTATCTGTTTCTTGGGGAACAGCCTCAGCATCCAGGATGGATTCTGGGGTCTGGTCTCCAAATTATACTGCACGCTGGTAAAGGCAGCTCTTAACCACAATATATGGGAAGAAGATCCATCATGAAGTTATACAGCCAATATATCAGTTTGTTCATGAAACCCAAATCACTAAATGATACTTTATCATTTTGTTTTGAGAACATGTTGCACACCTCGCAGGTGATTTCTGATGAAAGCCAGATTCCCACACTGCACGCTCTGCCCTCAGGGAGGTGTGGGAACATTTACATGGAGACCCTGCGCTGCATTGGTTTCATTGTTGAATGATGATTCTTTACTGAAAGGGGTATGTTCTATATAATCAAAAAAAGGTTGATCACTCTCATCAGGTCACCATTAAAATAAGAAAGTTTCAATTCCTAGCCTGACTTTTGTTTTTTATTTTCTTTCATGTTTGACTGTTTTTAATCAGTTTATTAGTCTTACTGTTTACAGTCTTACTGTCTCATCATGAGCTAGTCATGTAAAGACCTGTGTTCAAGGTGCTATAAAGCGATCGATCGAGAGTGATGCATTTGTTTTCTTCTGTCTCGTTTCAGACACAAAGACCCGGTGGTCAGTCAAGGTAAATATATATTTTTGCTCACATTCATCATGGTGGTACCATATCTGTCGTCATCATCATTACCATCATGTATAACAGCAAATAGGAAGCCAGAGATGCCAACACCAGCAGCATCTGAGATCTTTTAAAAGGTTTCAGCAGGAGCCGTCGTTAGTTTGGTCTCCTGCAGTTTCTCCCTTAGTGACTCTGAGACGTCATGTTGTCATTGGTTTTAGATGTTGTCATTGATGTTGTGGCGGCTCAATGGTCTGAACCATGAAGGGAGATCAGCTCTCCAGCTCTCTCTTAACTCGGGTTTTTTGGAATCACGAAGCTGCTTCACTTTCCCACAGGATAGATCAGACTGAGCCAGGTGAAAACCAGCTGAGCCTGATGGGTTGTTGGTGAAGCCGGATCAGGCACAGAGATTCTGGGGATGGTGAACCTGCTTCGTGGTACAGGTCCCCGGGGTCTCTGTTGCCTAATAAGAAAAAAATGCAACCTAAAGTTCAACTAAACTATATGCTCATAATATTCAGCCCATTTCTTTTCACAGCTGCAACAGGCTGTGTGAAAAATAAAACTGTCACAAGTTTCAGCATCAGTCACCATTGTGATAGGGCCAGGTCAGGGTTAGAAGTGAACCACCACCGTAGGGACCCTGAAGGTACCTTGCTAAGCTCACATCCTGTGGATTGTGTTGTTGTTGTTGAGTGACCATGTCTTTGTCTCAAACCAGCCAAAATGTCGACCCGAGAGAAAAACAGCCAAGCTGGTAAGTCCTGATGAGTCGTCAGAGCGAGCTAGCAGGCTAACATGCTAACAGCAGCTGAACGAGTGCTTCCTGTTTCTGCTCTGTACCAATCACATCTCTCTTTCTCTCTGCTTTACGTCGTCAGCCTCGCTCACCCTCCTGCTCTCTCTCTCTCCTTCAGGCTGATAAGGTGATGTTACACCTGTCTGTGGCTCCTCCCCCACTTCCCTTTACCTCCATATAAGGTCATACAGGTGGTCCCTGAAATATATTATGAGGAAAGTTATTATGTTATGGATCAGTGATACAAACTGAAGCCCTGCCCACCACCTAAATGTAAAGTACATTATTGGATGCTGCATTGATTGACAGGTCTTTAGTTTTTTGAGTCCATGACTCTGTGGAGGTAAACAACGACACAGCAGGTGTTTCTGTCTGACCTGCTTCACCTGCTTCACCTGCACGGCATCCAGGCTTCCTCACCTGTCCTCACCTTTTTGACTCTATGTTTGGTTTATTGAGTCAGCAGAATCTTGGGGGTCTCTGTCTGTTTCAGACAATCAGAACCCGTTTGATGATCTGCATCCAATTTGAAACAGACGGAGACCTTTAATCTTTCCTGTTCTAACAGATTTCTTCACCTGTAAGAGGGAACCTGATCAGCTATCTGTGATCTGATCAGGAAATATCAAAGATACGTTTGAAGTCATTTAGAAACTTTTATTTTACCCTGTAAAATGTCTTTTGGTCCCAATTCTTTATCCTGATTAAATATTTATTTTATTTTGTGTTTATGTAAAAAAAAGAAACAGACGTTGTCATGGAGGGACGGCTGAACACACCTGATCCCCTTATGCCCCGGATACAGAGCCTCAGTAATACTAGAGATGATCTGATCCTGATCAGTCTTTTTATAATGGTTAGACCTGCCATATTGCTGCTAAATCCAGTTTAATATTTGTTATTGTCTAAACAAATCAATCTGTCCGTGATGTCAGATGATATCTTTAACCACCATCAGAGGTCGGAGATCTGTTGGGCTGTGAATGTTGAGGAGGAGCATTAAATCTGCAGCTTTGATCGGTTTCTCATGTCTGTGTCTGTCTGTGGTTTCAGAGGGGAACATTAAGATGTTCATGCGTGGCCGACCGATCACCATGTTCATCCCTTCAGATGTGGACAACTACGAGGACGTCCGTACAGAACTTCCTTCAGAGAGACTCAAGCTAGAATGGGTGTATCCTTCAGCACATTTTATACAAGAAATGTTGTAAACCACTTAAAATCAGAATCTTATATACATATAATCGAAATATCAGTCGGGCTCTAATGACAATTAGCTTTAGTGCTTAGCTTAAAAAGACGTGCAGTTGTATTAGCAAACTGTAGGTAAAAGCTAAAAGTAGTAATAACGAGAGCAGCTGAAGTAGAATGTCCTGACAGAGGCTTTCCTAATGTAACATCAGGGGTGGATGAGATCTACTAAAGGATGCTCAGGTGAGCTGAGAGTGTCATCTACATGTAACTGGTTACAGTATATAAAGACTAAAAGTTAGTGGAGCCAGAACTGCGCCTCAGATCTACAGTAGAACCTAGAAAGGAGATCAGGCAGCAGCCTATTAGATCCAGGTAAATAGCTAATACAGACATCCCATAATTAGATTAACATAATTTCACACATCAGACTATTCATCACAAAGTAAGAATCCTATGAAAGAGAAAATGGCTCCAACATTTAGTAAATCCTCGGTAAATCAGAAATAAGCCCTTCCCAGATCCTCAGGATATCTTCAGTAGGTCTCAGTAGGGCTTCAGTAGCTCTTTACTGGATCCCCAGGAGACCTTTAGTATGTTTGCAATAGATCCTCAGGAGATCCCCAGGAGACCTTTAGTATGTTTGCAATAGATCCTCAGTAGATCCCCAGGAGACCTTTAGTATGTTTGCAATAGATCCCCAGGAGACCTTTAGTATGTCTGCAATAGATCCCCAGGAGACCTTTAGTATGTCTGCAATAGATCCCCAGGAGACCTTTAGTATGTCTGCAATAGATCCCCAGGAGACCTTTAGTATGTCTGCAATAGATCCCCAGGAGACCTTTAGTATGTCTGCAATAGATCCCCAGGAGACCTTTAGTATGTCTACAATAGATCCCCAGGAGACCTTTAGTATGTCTGCAATAGATCCCCAGGAGACCTTTAGTATGTCTACAATAGATCCCCAGGAGACCTTTAGTATGTCTGCAATAGATCCCCAGGAGACCTTTAGTATGTCTGCAATAGATCCCCAGGAGACCTTTAGTATGTCTGCAATAGATCCCCAGGAGACCTTTAGTATGTCTGCAATAGATCCCCAGGAGACCTTTAGTATGTCTGCAATAGATCCCCAGGAGACCTTTAGTATGTCTGCAATAGATCCCCAGGAGACCTTTAGTATGTCTGCAATAGATCCTCAGGAGACCTTTAGTATGTCTGCAATAGATCCTCAGTAGATCCCCAGGAGACCTTTAGTATGTTTGCAATAGATCCTCAGGAGACCTTTAGTATGTCTGCAATAGATCCTCAGGAGACCTTTAGTATGTTTGCAATAGATCCTCAGGAGACCTTTAGTATGTCTGCAATAGATCCCCAGGAGACCTTTAGTATGTCTGCAATAGATCCTCAGTAGATCCCCAGGAGACCTTTAGTATGTTTGCAATAGATCCTCAGGAGACCTTTAGTATGTTTGCAATAGATCCTCAGGAGACCTTTAGTATGTCTGCAATAGATCCCCAGGAGACCTTTAGTATGTCTGCAATAGATCCTCAGTAGATCCCCAGGAGACCTTTAGTATGTCTGCAATAGATCCTCAGGAGACCTTTAGTATGTTTGCAATAGATCCTCAGGAGACCTTTAGTATGTCTGCAATAGATCCCCAGGAGACCTTTAGTATGTCTGCAATAGATCCTCAGTAGATCCCCAGGAGACCTTTAGTATGTTTGCAATAGATCCCCAGGAGACCTTTAGTATGTTTGCAATAGATCCTCAGGAGACCTTTAGTATGTCTGCAATAGATCCTCAGTAGATCCCCAGGAGACCTTTAGTATGTTTGCAATAGATCCTCAGGAGACCTTTAGTATGTCTGCAATAGATCCTCAGGAGACCTTTAGTATGTTTGCAATAGATCCTCAGGAGACCTTTAGTATGTCTGCAATAGATCCTCAGGAGACCTTTAGTATGTCTGCAATAGATCCTCAGGAGACCTTTAGTATGTTTGCAATAGATCCTCAGGAGACCTTTAGTATGTCTGCAATAGATCCTCAGGAGACCTTTAGTATGTCTGCAATAGATCCTCAGTAGATCCCCAGGAGACCTTTAGTATGTCTGCAATAGATCCTCAGGAGACCTTTAGTATGTCTGCAATAGATCCCCAGGAGACCTTTAGTATGTCTGCAATAGATCCTCAGTAGATCCCCAGGAGACCTTTAGTATGTCTGCAATAGATCCTCAGTAGATCCCCAGGAGACCTTTAGTATGTCTGCAATAGATCCTCAGTAGATCCCCAGGAGACCTTTAGTATGTTTGCAATAGATCCCCAGGAGACCTTTAGTATGTTTGCAATAGATCCTCAGGAGACCTTTAGTATGTCTGCAATAGATCCTCAGGAGACCTTTAGTATGTCTGCAATAGATCCCCAGGAGACCTTTAGTATGTTTGCAATAGATCCCCAGGAGACCTTTAGTATGTTTGCAATAGATCCTCAGGAGACCTTTAGTATGTCTGCAATAGATCCTCAGGAGACCTTTAGTATGTCTGCAATAGATCCTCAGGAGACCTTTAGTATGTCTGCAATAGATCCTCAGTAGATCCCCAGGAGACCTTTAGTATGTTTGCAATAGATCCTCAGGAGACCTTTAGTATGTCTGCAATAGATCCTCAGGAGACCTTTAGTATGTCTGCAATAGATCCTCAGGAGACCTTTAGTATGTCTGCAATAGATCCTCAGTAGATCCTCAGGAGACCTTTAGTATGTTTGCAATAGATCCTCAGGAGACCTTTAGTATGTCTGCAATAGATCCTCAGGAGACCTTTAGTATGTCTGCAATAGATCCTCAGGAGACCTTTAGTATGTTTGCAATAGATCCTCAGGAGACCTTTAGTATGTTTGCAATAGATCCTCAGGAGACCTTTAGTATGTCTGCAATAGATCCTCAGGAGACCTTTAGTATGTTTGCAATAGATCCTCAGGAGACCTTTAGTATGTTTGCAATAACGAAATGAAAATTAAAAGTAGATCCCCATCGATCAGTAGATCCTCGGCAGACCTTTAATAAACCTTCAGTAGATTGTCGGTAGATCTCCAGGTGCTTCCTTGACTTCCTGCAGGTACGGTTACCGTGGCAGAGACTGCAGAGCAAACGTCTACCTCCTTCCAACAGGAGAGATTGTTTACTTCATTGCCTCTGTCGTAGTTCTCTTTAACTACGAAGAACGAACTCAGAGACATTACCTCGGACACACCGACTGTGTCAAGTGGTGAGAAAACACCCCTATAAAAATCATCTGCTGCTCTGTGGTGACAGGTCTGTGACATCACCTCTCTTTTTCTCTCTGTCAGTTTGGCCATCCATCCTGATAAGATCCGGATGGCTACGGGACAGATAGCAGGAGTGGACAAAGACGGACGGGTGAGGACGAACAGGATTAATTAGACATTTTCACTTTTCAGCAGTTAATAAACGCTAAATTAAAATATTTCAGACGGGCCAATGGACAAATCAACTCATTACTGTCTTTAATGCAGTCTAATATAATATATAGTAATAACCGTGGTAACTGTACACAACAAAGATGGCGGCACCAGAAGGCTCAGAATGATCAGAAGACAAACATTTGAAAAATGTCATGATGTTTTGTGATGATTGGGCGAACACTGTCTGAGTTATAGCCTTATCTGTGCTATGCCACGGTAGGGCTGGGCGGTATATCGGTATATAATGTATACCGATATAATTTCAAAAGAGATGGACAATACCGTTTATATAGTTTGATGTTGAGTTAATTAATGTTTCTGTAAAGTCCTGCCAGCGTTTGCTCCTCTCTCCCTCCCTCACCGTGCAGCCCCGCCCCTCCCTCTGCGTCTGCATGCAGCCTTCTACTCACAAGATGGAGGGAGACACAGTGCTGGTCAACGCTGTTAAAGACCTGGCTTGTAAAAAGAAAAGCACGGTTCATTCAGTGTTTCCCACACATACACTTTACTTCCCAGGTTAGGCGACACACTGTAGCATTTATCAGAGAAACAGTGATTATGTTACAAGTCGCGACACTGTGGATATTTTACAAGAGCGGACCAGGTAAAGCGACTGTGAACACACCAGTCATCTGTTATTTGTCAGCTACCACATTGGTTTTGTTGTCAACACGTCTCCTCAACGTGCAGCTTAGCTGCTGCTGTGAACGGAATCACGGGAGGAAAAGTTACTGATGGAGAAAGTCACCGAAGCGGACACACAGGGAGAGAGAGACGGTAAAGGCACTTTTCCACTGCTCGGTAACAGCTCGATTTTCTTTACTTTTCCATGATGTAAAAATTGTACTTGTACCTGCTACCAGGTACCTTTTTCGTATCACCTCCGTCTGATCTGTCTTTACATTCTGAGTAATGTTGAAACTTTTAAACTTTTAATCAGGAGACAGCTGTGTGTGCGTTTTCGTGTGTGTGTGTCGCATTGAACATTACGTCGCGGCAGTTGTGTGTGGCGTTGCTATGACGACCAGCTAGCTTGAAAGGCACTATCTCTGGGTGCTATCTGCAATGGAAAACGGAGCACGGCCAAACCGAGTCGAGCTGGTACTGGTTATGGAAAAACGGCATAAGAAGCGGGCAACTCTGAGGTGTTTGCAGCGGAGACGTTAGGTCTGCGAGTGGGAAGAGAAATGAAGGAGGCAAATTCAATGTGAGTGGTACTTAAGATGTAGAATGAAGTATAATTAAAATGGTGAAATAAGAAATAGCTAAGTTACTAAAAATAGTGAAAACATGCCTGGAATTAGGGACAGCAAGCAGGTCCTTGTCAGAGGACCGCAGGGACCGTGCCTGAGTGCAGGGATGGAGTAGTTCTGTGAGGTACTGAGGTGCAAGTCCATGGAGAGATTGTACGTCAGGAGGAGGATTTTATATTTGATCCGGGACCCAGAGTTGGAAGACATGCTTTGACCAAGGCAGTCAACATTGGATCCTGTTTGCTGGTGGTGGCCTTTGCTTTTGACACTAGCTCAAGAACTTGAGCTGTTTTGAGCGGGGAGAAAGAGGAGAGGCAGTCCTGCGGTGTGAAGACAGTTGAAGAGTTTGTGTCCAGCTGCGGTAGTGTGGTTGGGTGGGAGGAGCTGGACAGCTGCAGTTGCTGGTGGATGGTTTCTACCTTTTTCTGGAAGTATTCCAGGAACCTGGAGCATAGGCCAGCAGCATCAGATGGTTGAGGAGGGTCAGGTGGACAGAGTAGGTGGTTGATAGAGGAAAAAAGCTGTTTAGGTTGATGTTGTTGGTTGCAAATGAGTGTGAGTAATAGTTAGTTTTCGCCCTGGGAAGAGCATCTTTGTAGCTCTTAACATGGCCGTTGTAGGCTTCCTGGTGGACAGTGAGGCCAGATTTTTTTATTTTATTTTTTTAAGTGTGATAATGATAACAGCCTGACTTTTTGTCCATGCCTTCAGGCACTACAGCCTCACGTTCGGATCTGGGACAGCGTCAGTCTGTCCACTCTGCAGGTCATCGGTTTGGGAACATTCGAGCGAGGCGTTGGCTCTCTGTCTTTTTCCAAAGCTGTGAGTATCATCCCTCTCTCTCTTTCTCTCTGTTCCTCTCTCTTTCTCTCTGTTCTCCCCCCCCCCCTCTCTCTCTCTCTCTCTCCCTCTCTCTCCTTCACCCCAACCGGTCGAGGCAGATGGTCGCCCACCCTGAGCCATGGTTCTGCTCGAGGTTTCTGCCTCTTAAAGGAAGTTTTTCCTTGCCTCTGTCTCCTAGTGCAGCTCTTGGTGGGAACTGTTGGGCTTCTGTAAATAACATCACAGAGTACGGTATACACCTGCTCTTTATGAAAAGCGCTGTGAGATAACTGTTGTTATGATTTGGCGCTATATAAATAAAATTGAATTGAATCTCACCTCTGTCTGTCTGTATCTCTGTCTGTATCTCTGTCTCATTCTGTCTGTCTGTATCTCTGTCTCACCTCTGTCTGTATCTCTGTCTCATTCTGTCTGTCTGTATCTCTGTCTCACCTCTGTCTGTATCTCTGTCTCACCTCTTTCTGTCTGTATCTCTGTATCTTTATCTCATCTCTGTCTGTATCTCTCTCACCTGTCTGTCTATATCTCTGTCTGTATCTCTGTCTCACCTATCTCACCTCTGTCTGTCTGTATCTCTGTCTCACCTCTATCTCACCTCTGTCTGTATCTCTGTCTCACCTCTATCTCACCTCTGTCTGTCTGTATCTCTGTCTGTATCTCTGTCTCACCTCTATCTCATTCTGTCTGTCTGTATCTCTGTCTGTATCTCTGTCTCACCTCTATCTCACCTCTGTCTGTCTGTATCTCTGTCTGTATCTCTGTCTCACCTCTATCTCATTCTGTCTGTCTGTATCTCTGTCTGTATCTCTGTCTCACCTCTATCTCACCTCTGCCTGTCTGTATCTCTCTCTGTATCTCTGTCTCACCTCTATCTCACCTCTGTCTGTCTGTATCTCTGTCTGTATCTCTGTCTCACCTCTATCTGTCTGTATCTCTGTCTGTATCTCTGTCTCACCTCTGTCTGTCTGTATCTCTGTCTCACCTCTATCTCACCTCTCTCTGTCTGTCTGTATCTCTGTCTCACCTCTATCTCACTTCTGTCTGTCTGTATCTCTGTCTGTATCTCTGTCTCACCTCTATCTGTCTGTATCTCTGTCTGTATCTCTGTCTCACCTCTGTCTGTCTATATCTCTGTCTCACCTCTGTCTGTCTGTATCTCTGTCTCATCTCTATCTCACCTCTGTCTGTCTGTATCTCTATCTCATTCTGTCTGTCTGTATCTCTATCTCATTCTGTCTGTCTGTATCTCTATCTCATTCTGTCTGTCTGTATCTCTATCTCACCTCTATCTCACCTCTGTCTGTCTGTATCTCTGTCTCACCTCTATCTCTCCTCTGTCTGTCTGTGTCTCTGTCTCACCTCTATCTCTCCTCTGTCTGTCTGTATCTCTGTCTGTATCTCTATCTCACCTCTGTCTGTATCTCTATCTCATTCTGTCTGTCTGTATCTCTGTATCTCTGTCTCACCTCTATTTCACCTCTGTCTGTCTGTATCTCTGTCTCACCTCTGTCTATATCTCTGTCTGTATCTCTATCTCACCTCTGTCTGTCTGTATCTCTCTCACCTCTGTCTGTCTGTATCTCTGTCTCACCTCTGTCTGTCTGTATCTCTCTCACCTCTGTCTGTCTGTATCTCTGTCTCACCTCTGTCTGTCTGTATCTCTGTCTCACCTCTGTCTGTCTGTATCTCTGTCTCACCTCTGTCTGTCTGTATCTCTGTCTCACCTCTATCTCTCCTCTGTATCTCTGTCTCACCTCTGTCTCATCTCTGTCTGTCTGTATCTCTGTCTGTATCTCTATCTCACCTCTGTCTGTCTGTATCTCTATCTGTATCTCTGTCTCACCTCTATTTCACCTCTGTCTGTATCTCTGTCTGTATCTCTGTCTCACCTCTGTCTGTCTATATCTCTGTGTGTATCTCTGTCTCATTCTGTCTGTCTGTATCTCTGTCTGTATCTCTATCTCACCTCTATCTCTCCTCTGTCTGTATCTCTATCTCACCTCTGTCTGTCTATATCTCTGTCTGTATCTCTGTCTGTATCTCTATCTCACCTCTGTCTGTCTATATCTCTGTCTGTATCTCTGTCTGTATCTCTATCTCACCTCTGTCTGTCTATATCTGTCTATATCTCTGTCTGTATCTCTATCTCACCTCTGTCTGTCTGTATCTCTGTCTGTATCTCTATCTCACCTCTATCTCTCCTCTGTCTGTATCTCTATCTCACCTCTGTCTGTCTATATCTCTGTCTGTATCTCTGTCTCACCTCTGTCTGTCTGTATCTCTGTCTGTATCTCTATCTCACCTCTGTCTGTCTGTATCTCTATCTCATTGCTGTCTCTCACCGTGTCCCTCCCTCTGTCTCCGGTAGGACTCTGGTCAGCACCTGAGCGTTATTGACGACTGTAACGATCACATGCTGACAGTCTGGGATTGGCAGAAGAAGTCAAAGATCGCTGAGATCAAGGTGAGCACTCAGTCGTACTCCTATCACTGCACCCAGACCAGTACAGCAGAATGTCATTCAGGTCTTTGAATTTATACCTTCAGCTTCAACGGCTCTGGTTCTAACTGGTTCTGGCTTGTCTCTTACTGGTTCTAACTGGTTCTGGCTTGTCTCTAACTGGTTCTAACTGGTGTGTTTCAGACCACTAACGAGGTGGTCCTGGCCGTGGAGTTCCACCCCACTGACCCGAACACCATCGTCACCTGTGGAAAGTCGCACATCTTCTTCTGGACCTGGACGGGGAATTCACTGGCTCGTAAACAGGGAATCTTTGGGGTGAGGAGGTGTTGAGTTCTTTTGATATACAGAACTATGCAGATGTTTTAGTGGTGTGGATGAACCACTGTAAAGTCTAAAATAGTCCTAAAATAGATTATATTTATCACTGAACAAAAAGCAAAGTGAGTGAACAGAATTAAGATCTGAATCAAATCAGTATTTGGTGACCAGTTCACTTCGTGAAGTGGCCATTAGTTGCCTGTATGTGATGCTGGAGGAAAACTCTGCCAACAGTTAGTTTTATTTCCCAGCAGTCATCATTTAGATTGAGATCTTCCTCCCATTTTCTGCACCAGGTAACTTCTTCATGGCCAGTTAGCCTTGGAACAAGCATAAGAAATTTAAATCAGATTCACTGACTGTAACTGGGACGTACTTATCTGTCCAAAACTCATGAAGGGACTGAAAGACATTTTACTAACTGCAGATTGTTTCCAGCTTCACAGCTGTCATCTTCTTGAGGTGTTTAAAAGAAACCTTAAATTTAAACCCTGCAGCCATTCTGTTGGTTCTTTGAAGAGCTTTCCCATCAGAGTTCCAGTAAGAAAATAAAAACTTCCCACTGGCAGAAAGCTACAGATCCAAACAGGTAAACGCCTAAATCTGACCTAAGGGGCTAAATCGACCAAGAGCTACTTGAGGTTTGGTGGAGGAGAGACTGCAGCAAAGTGAACTTGAGGAATTTGATCTGCAGACGAACAGGAAGCTCCACCCGGCTGAACACAAAGGGACAAACCTTCAGATTAAAAGTTTGTTTTCACACACGCGGTTAACAGGACTTATAGGCTCACAGAAAACAGCGTTCAGAAAAGAATTCATGAGGTGAGTATCTCATCCTGCAGTGAGATCATGCCACAGAGCTTTTCTGAACAAACCACATCACACGTGTTACTGCCTGTAATTTGTTGTCACAGATGAGACAGACCGACCTGATGAGATAGAGATATATGTGTGTGTGTGTGTGTGTGTGTGTGTGTGTGTATATATATATATAATCTCACATCTGTCCCAGAGTTCAGTCTGAGCTCAACATGTACGCTGCGTTAATCAGAGCCAGACAGGAAGCGGGCTGTAAAACCAAAACTAAGAGCTAAAAGAGGCTAAACTGTCCTCTGAGATAACTCACCAGCAGAGACGCTTGAATGTCCCAGTTTTAGATTTTATATGAAGTATTGTGAGCATCATGATCCATGTGCAAGAAACTTTGTAAAGACCAGTTAACTCTGGGTGTCAGTAACTGACCTGACCTGGGATCGGTTTAACATTGCAAAGAAAAGCTCAGAGAAGACGAAGTGTGTGTGTTGGCCCAGTTTCAGTAATGGTTTTAGAGACGCGTCGTCAAACTGGTTTCAGCTGGAGCCATGCCAAGAATTAAACGGTTTTCAGGTGAAGTTCTGCACAGGGAGCAGATCAGAGTACACAGGTTGAAGTCTGTCTGAGCAATGTTCAGCAACACAAGAGACACTTCTAAAGTAGTCCTGGTCTATCTCTGTAGTCCTGGTCTAACTGGGACCCTGTTTCTTGTTGTGTTTTCAGAAATACGAGAAGCCGAAGTTCATTCAGTGTCTGGCCTTCCTGAGTACTGGAGACATCCTGACCGGAGACTCTGGAGGAGTCCTGCTGGTCTGGACCAGGAGCTCCGCTGAGACCCCCACGGGGAAGGGACCCAGAGGTGAGGAAAAGGGGGTGACCGATCCTGACCTGGGATCAGTTTAACACTGTAAAGAAAAGCTCAGAGAAGACGAAGTGTGTGTGTTGGCCCAGTTTCAGTAATGGTTTTAGAGACGTGTCGTCAAACTGGCTTCAGCTGGAGCCATGCCAAGAATTAAACGGTTTTCAGGTGAAGTTCTGCACGGGGAGCAGATCAGAGTACACATGTTGAAGTCTGTCTGAACAAGTGTTCAGCAAGAGTCCAGAACAAATGAAACCCGACTCCAGCAGCTACAGGAAGTCAGGCAAAGTGTTTTCAGAGGAAACCTGGAGAAACAGGAAGCGCTTTCTGTGACCTGCTTCCTCCTGCTGGCTGCTGCAGGAACTGCACCTGAAAACATGTCCACCACTGCCGTCCTCAGAAACACACAGAAAACACCAGCAGAGGCACAATCCAGATCGTCAGACTGAAATAAATCCAGATCTATAGTCTGAAATAAATCCAGATCTACAGTCTGAAATAAATCCAGATCTACAGTCTGAAATATATCCAGATCTACAGTCTGAAATAAATCCAGATCTTCAGACTGAAATAAATCCAGATCTATAGTCTGTGTGATGGCCACAGCCGTGGCCTCACAACCAGATGAAGAGCGGTAACCTCATGCACTGACTTTTTTTTGTGTTCTTTAAGATTAGTTTATATACATTCATACACATTAGACAGTTTGTAGTAAATATTTATTTGGTTACAAATAAACTTACAGGACACTTAGTTTATTTCACATACTTTATTTTAGTTGACTATACAGAAGCATCTTTTGGAACACACACCATTAGTTAGTTTTGGATTTTCATTTTGTTATAATTGTTTCCGAGCTTACCAGTGTTGGATGCCACATCCAGGAAGTCTGCTGGCTTAAAGGGTTGGTGCTCGGAGCAGGAGCAGCTTTATAGGAGAGGTGGCCTGATTGGACACTACCACTGCTTGCTATGTCTGGGGGTGGCTTTATTCTCTCCTTAAATATTTTGGGGTTTAGATTTATATTATATTTGAGTATTTTGAGTTAAGGTTAAGTAAATGTACATTTCTTTTGGAATAAGTTTTTACATAAGTTTTGTTGTGTTTGCAGTTATGATGTAGTGTTGTTGTTGTTAGTCTTCCCCTGTGTGTCAAAATTGGTCTGATCAGCCAATATATAAGTCCCCTTTGTTTGTTGTATAGTAGGTCAGTTGTATTTTTGAGTCTCTTATGTTTAGAGCTTTAGTTTGTTTGTTTGTTTATTTGACCTCTTTTATGGGCCCAAAACTTTATCTTTTGTTGTAATGATTTTTTTGGTAAATAAAACCCTTTTGCTTTAAATTTCCCTCTTGACTCCTCATGCCTAACTGCCTGGTCCCTCACAGTCTGAAATAAATCTAGATCTACAGTCTGAAATAAATCCAGATCTACAGTCTGTAATAAATCCAGATCTTCAGACTGAAATAAATCCAGATCTATAGTCTGAAATAAATCTAGATCTACAGTCTGAAATAAATCCAGATCTACAGTCTGTAATAAATCCAGATCTACAGTCTGAAATATATCCAGATCTATAGTCTGAAATATATCCAGATCTACAGTCTGAAATAAATCCAGATCTACAGTCTGAAATAAATCCAGATCTTCAGACTGAAATAAATCCAGATCTTCAGACTGAAATAAATCCAGATCTACAGTCTGAAATAAATCCAGATCTTCAGACTGAAATATATCCAGATCCTCAGCAGAGTCACTGGTGAACACATTTAGTACGTCAACATCTCATTGTGTGACGCTGTCATTGTGTAAAGCTGCTTCCTTCTGTCAGAATCTGCAGAGACACGGCAGCCAATCAGAGGACAGCTTTCACTAACCTGTGTTTCTGTGTGCAGCGTTTCAGATCAGTCGGCAGGTCAAAGGTCACGAGGGCAGCGTGTTTTGTATGTGTGAGATGAGGAGCGGCACTCTGCTGACCGGGGGAGGGAAAGACCGGAAGATAATCCTGTGGGACCACGAGCTGAGACCGGACCGCGACATCGAGGTCCTGCACACACACCCATACACACTCATTCTCTTTGACCTTACTGGTTCCTGGGAGCCTTGCTCAGAGGACACCTCTCTGTGGCTCTTGGAAGCTGCCTGTGTCTGATGTGTTGGCCACTGAGCAGCGGGACCCTGTTACAAAAAGTTACAAAATTCATTTTCCTGTATTCTCTCAAGTCGCACTATTGACTGAGGTCACGCGTATGTGTGTCTACAGGTCCCGGATCAGTATGGAACCATCAGAGCAGTTTCTGAGGGGAAGGGGGACGAGTTTCTGGTCGGAACATCTCGTAACTTCATCCTGAGAGGAACCTTCAATGACGGCTTCCTGGTCGAGGTCCAGGTGAGACCACATGACCTCATCATGCTGTCATGTTGAATGAAGCAGACTTCCTGTTTGTTAAAGTTCAGAATCTGATCATTACGTTGTGAGGCGTTCAGGGTGTCAGAACCTTTGTGTTATGATGTGTCCAGGGTCTCAAGATCTGTACTTTGTGATGTGTTCAGGGTCTCAGCACCTGTGTGTCGTGTTGTGATGTGTCTAGGGTCTCAAGACCTGTACATTGTGATGTGTTCAGGGTCTCAGAACCTTTGTGTCATGTTGTGATGTGTCCAGGGTCACACAGACGAGCTGTGGGGTTTAGCGTCCCACCCGTCCAGAGAGATGTTCCTGACGTGTGCTCAGGACCGGCTGGTCTGCCTCTGGAACGCGTTGAACCACAGTCTTCAATGGAGCCGCACGCTGGAGGTGAGGGGCGGCGGGGTCACTGATGGGACTGACTGCTGATTGGATGAGTGATTAATGATGGATGATTGACAGCTCTGTCTTTCCCTCAGGAACATGGACACTGTGCAGATTTCCATCCCAGCGGAGCCGTGGTGGCCATAGGAACACACTCGGGAAAGTCAGTATTGATCGATGATCCAATCCCCACCCCCCCACCCCCCCATGTTGTTCCACCTCTCTCATGATGGCCTATCAGTTCGCACCTGTCTCATGTTGGTCTAACTGGTCGACCTGTCTCAGGTGGTATGTCCTGGATGCTGAGACCACAGACTTGGTGGCAATCCACACCGACGGGAACGAGCAGCTGTCTGTGATGCGCTTCTCTGTAGGTGGGTGGAGTCTAGTTAAACCAGTTTGAATCTGTTTCTATGACAATGTACCTAGAGGGCTGAACTACATGACCCAGAATGCCCCTCTCTGTGTATCTACAGATGGAGGTCTGTTGGCTGTTGGATCTCATGATAACTTTATTTACCTCTACACCGTCTCCGACAGAGGACGCAAGTACAGCCGCTACGGGAAGTGCACCGTAAGTCTGTCTGCTGTTCACTTCACGTTAGTCTAAAGTCTGTTTGTAGTTTTTAGAGTTAAACGTCACTTTCTGTTAGCCTAATGTCTGTAGTTTTTAATTTAAGAGTAAAACGTCACTTTCTGTTAGCCTAATGTCTGTAGTTTTTAATTTAAGAGTAAAACGTCACTTTCTGTTAGCCTAATGTCTGTAGTTTTTAATTTAAGAGTAAAACGTCACTTTCTGTTAGCCTAACGTCTGTAGTTTTTAATTTAAGAGTAAAACGTCACTTTCTGTTAGCCTAACGTCTGTAGTTTTTAAATTTAAGGGTGAAACGTCACTTCCTGTTAGCCTGACGTCCGTAGTTTTTAATTTAAGAGTAAAACGTCACTTTCTGTTAGCCTAACGTCCGTAGTTTTTAATTTAAGAGTAAAACGTCACTTTCTGTTAGCCTAACGTCCGTAGTTTTTAATTTAAGAGTAAAACGTCACTTTCTGTTAGCCTAACGTCTGTAGTTTTTAATTTAAGAGTAAAACGTCACTTCCTGTTAGCCTAACGTCTGTAGTTTTTAATTTAAGAGTAAAACGTCACTTCCTGTTAGCCTAATGTCTGTAGTTTTTAATTTAAGAGTAAAACGTCACTTTCTGTTAGCCTAATGTCTGTAGTTTTTAATTTAAGAGTAAAACGTCACTTTCTGTTAGCCTAACGTCTGTAGTTTTTAATTTAAGAGTAAAACGTCACTTTCTGTTAGCCTAACGTCTGTAGTTTTTAATTTAAGAGTAAAACGTCACTTTCTGTTAGCCTAACGTCTGTAGTTTTTAATTTAAGAGTTAAACTTCACTTTCTGTTAGCCTAACGTCTGTAGTTTTTAAATTTAAGGGTGAAACGTCACTTCCTGTTAGCCTGACGTCCGTAGTTTTTAATTTAAGAGTAAAACGTCACTTTCTATTAGCCTAATGTCTGTAGTTTTTAATTTAAGAGTTAAACTTCACTTTCTGTTAGCCTAACGTCTGTAGTTTTTAAATTTAAGGGTGAAACGTCACTTCCTGTTAGCCTGACGTCTTTAGTTTTTAAAGTGTATTTAAGGAGTTAATCTCCTACCTGAACTACCACAGCTACTTCATTTGGAAAATGTGGTCTGGAGAGAAAACTGGAGAACTACATATCTCAGAGTTCCCAGCTGCAACCACAGTCAGTGTTTGTGTAGGTCACAATGGAGCTCAGGTGTGTTCATGAGTTACCTGAATGTTTCCACAGGGACATTCCAGCTACATCACGCACTTGGATTGGTCACCTGACAACAACTTCATCATGTCCAACTCTGGAGACTACGAGATCCTCTACTGTGAGTACTTCACTGCTGTAGTATTTGTAGTACTGTGTACTTGTAGCTCTGCAATGTGGTGTGTAACAGTTTTGTGTTTTCAGGGAACGTTCCAAATGGTTGTAAACTTATCACAAAGCCTTCAGAGTGTAAAGACATCGACTGGGCAACTTACACCTGCGTACTGGGATACCACGTGTTCGGTTTGTACACCTGCACACCTACACACCTGCACATCTGTATACCTGCACATCTGTACACCTGCACATCTGTATACCTGTACACCTACATACCCGTACATCTGCACATCTGTATACCCGTACACTTGTACATCTGTACACCTGCACATCTGTATACATGTACACCTACATACCCGTACACCTGTACATCTGTACACCTGCACATCTGTATACATGTACACCTACATACCCGTACACCTGCACATCTGTACATCTGTATACCCGTATACCTGCACATCTGTATACCTGCACACCTGTACACCTGCACATCTGCAAACCTGCACATCTGTACACCTATACATCTGCACACCTGTAAACCTGCACATCTGTATACCCGTACACCTGCACATCTGTACACCTGCACATCTGTACACCTGTACATCTGCAAACCTGCACACCTGTAAACCTGCATACCTGTACACTTGCACACCTGCACATCTGTACACCTGTACACCTGCACATCTGCACATCTGTACATCTGTACACCTGCACATCTGTACAGACGCACGTTTTGCTGTCAAATAACTCGCTTTTGACGTGCCAGTGTGCAATAACATGCCCAACCTGTCTATGAATACTATGGCTTGTCAATCACACCTACATCTGTACACCTACACACCTGTACACAGCTACACAAACACATTTGAAAGCAAAGCGTCGGTGGCTCAGTAGATCATGTGACATCAGATAGTAGACAGGTGATGTTTACCTGGAGTGTGTGTGTGTGTGTGTGTGTCAGGTGTGTGGCCCGATGGTTCTGACGGCACCGACATCAATGCTCTGATCAGATCTCACAACAGGAAGGTGATCGCTCTGGCTGACGACTTCTGTAAAGTTCACCTCTTCACCTACCCGTGCTCCAAACCCAAGGTGAGACACTCACAAAGATCAAATGATCAGTAAGAAATCAACGGGCAGATGATGTAACGTGGATCGATTGTGTGTGTGCGTGCAGGCTCCCAGCCACAAGTACAGCGCCCACAGCAGTCATGTGACCAACGTCAGCTTCCTGTACAGAGACAGTCACCTGATCTCGACGGGGGGGAAGGACACCAGCATCATGCAGTGGCGTCTGGTGGAGAAAGCCTCGCTGTCCCTCGCCGACGGCCTCCTGTCTAATTCCGCCCCCCACCGGGCAGACCCCATCTTCAGCCCGCCCCCTCAAGTCACGGCCGCGACCGCACAGGAACCTTCCCCGCCTCCCCCGACCGCCAACGGGACCCAAGACCCCTCCCCAGACACCCCGCCCCCCACAAAGCTAACCCCGCCTATCTCTGAGTTAACCCCGCCCTGCTCCGTGTCGACTCCGCCCCCCTCCGACAGCACGGTGAGTCTGAAGGACAGCCTGGAGCCGAGCGACGACACGGCCACGCCCAGCGACGAGGGCCTGCCCCCCCTCACCCCCCCCTCATAAACCGAGTCAGTGTGAGTGTTGGTACAGCTATCTTTGTGAGGACCCGGCCGACTCTTAGGTTCAGTTTAGGATCAGGTTTAGGATCAAGTTCAGGTTTAGTTAAAGATCAGGTTCAGTCAGGATCAGGTAGCTGTGCTGGTTGAACGAGAGACAAACACACGTTGGATCATTCAGACTTCACTTCCTGTGGACGTCCCGAGCTCTGATCCAGAATCTTGAGAGCCTTCGTGTTTCTTCAGTGATCAGGACAACAGCTGATTCAGTTTGTCATGGTCTGGGGGGTCCTCACAAGTATAGAAGTACAAATGTGCGTGTGTCAGGACTGAAAGCTGCAGGTTTTAATAAAATAAACTTCTTCCTGTTTGAACGTGATGTCACCGTCTAAAACGCCGGCGGCCTTGTATATAAAACTCGGGATGATTAGAAACCGTGTGGATGTCCCTTCATAAATCACATAAGCCTCAGATCCCGCCATCTACATTTCTGTCCGTCCCCTGGAGAGTCTGATTTACCTGAACAGGGACTCGCACACCTGTCACACCTGGACTCTCATCCTTAAAACATTTGAACGTTTAGTTTTAAAGTCTCACCTTGTTCCAGGTGTGCTCTGTACCTGTCCGTCCCAGAGGACAGGTGGGAACACCTGGACAAAGTGAAGAAGACACATAAAGGTGAGCGTTCTGCTCAGGACACAAAATGTTTCACTGAGACAAAAGATTTAAAGGATGAAGACTGACCGATGTGTTTCAGGTGTGCTCTCCTCTGCTCCAGAGCAGTTAAATAGGAAGTGTTGGGGGGGGGGGGGTCTTAAATGTCTTTTTAGAAACTTGTTTTTAAACCTAAACACTGATTCAAATTTGTTGTGCTGTTATTTTGTTAAACCGCCAAAGTCAATACTTGTGGAAAGATGTTTCACAATAAAAGCACTCCATAGAAGGGACAGTACTACGAGGCTTTTAATGTGAAACTTCCAGGAAATGTGGACCATACAGGAAGGAGCAGAGAGCCTTCAAACTAAAATACACTCTAACACGAGAAACACAGGTGTGTCTCGGACCTTCTCGCGTCACATAATCACAAATATCCTGTTCTTTCAGGTAGACGTTAACTGCAACTCCCAGGATTCATTTCTCTGCGCTGAGAGATCAGGAAACAGGAAGTAGAGAGGATGTAAACAGGAAGCAGGGCCTCCAGAGTAAAAGCTGTGACTGAGACTCCGTGTTTGTATATTTGTGTTCATCACCGGGGGCAGCAGCTCCTCAGATAGCCACGTCACATTCAGCACTCGCATATCTCAGCCAAGCTGTCCTCTGATTGGCTGGTTTTCATTGACTCGCTGCTGTCTGTCTCCTGGACCATGTCACAATGATGTCATGATGATATCACTCCTTCATGTTTTTTCTTTTTAATACTCCTCGTCTTTAATGTCGTCGTCTTTTCTACGCTCGTCTCTGAAGGGCTTGTACAGGGGCTCACCTGGACGTCCAGGGAGGGGCGGGGTTACGGGAGGGGGCGGGGTTTCGTGGGACTTTCTGGATAAAGTGTTTTTTTTTTTTTTCAGCGATCAGTAACCCGTAATCATGATGATCATGTGACTGTTTTGAGCCAATCATGTCTGCTCTCATGCATTCCTGTCAGACGACAGACTGTACTGAAGATTTCAACAAAAAAATGAAAATAAATGTTTTCAAAATTGACGACTCAGAATTCACTTTGTCTCTCTGCTGTTGCTGTGGTGATGGGGACAGCCCAGGGCACCATAACCCAGGACATCAGTCTGTGATCCGATCAGCTGGTGTAATGGAAATAAAGAGTTCAATCCAGGCGTCTTTAAAGGTTTTTATTCTTTGCAAAGGTCAGAAAACATACAGAGTGCCACCAGTCTGCAGAATGTAAGACAGCCAGTGACCTTTTACTGTGATGTTGTTACGCAGCTGTCTCAGGGAGGGAAGGAGTAGGAACCCACTGTCATGAGATGAAGGACCGTCTGATAAGAAACCCCTCTAATGGGCTACTTTCCCATGGGAACCTTCACCTAGCTGCAAGATCTTAAATTATTAAGCACCACACAGGGAAACATTAAAATATTAAATTTCCATCACCTCAGTGTCAGCTGTATGCACATTAATGTAGCTGTCCTTCAGGCTCCTTGCTTGCTAATAACTTGGGTCTCTAACTGGGAGATTGACAACGCCGTCAATCTCCCAGTTAGAGACACAGACTAATCAGTGTTACCTTGTGCTTCTGTGATCATAATAATAATAATAACTCTATTTATAGAGCACTTATCAAAACAGTACGAAGTGCACAGAAGGTAAAACATTAAAATCATAACAGTTAAAAAAGACGACCATAAAATACAACAAAATATGCACAAATGAAAATGAAATTAAAACAGTAAGTGCTGGCTTATTGGATAAAATCAGAAAACACTTTCCGGAATCAATAAGTTTTCAGGCAAGACTTAAAAGAAGACTCTGACATCCTGATGTCCTCAGAGAGGTCATTCCAGAGCCTTGGGGCCCTGACCCCAAAGGCTCTATCTCCTTGTGTTTTCAGCCTGGACTCAGGGATGCACAGGAGACCCCTGCCGGAGGATATCAGGCTGCGCACAGGATCGTAAGGGGTTACACAAACATTTTTTTCCAGAACCTTGGAAAAAGGGCAATAGTGGTTGAGGTTGGTGGGTTCAAGGCCGGGTTTTTTTAGGACTGGTTGAACACAGCACATTTAATATAATCTGGATAACAACTACATGACAGTGAGCTATTTATGATTAAGAGCAAATAGGAGCAATAGCAACTGTCCGCTAAACACTTATTCTTACAGTAATTTTGCCTAAGCACTCACAGTTCTTTCCATCGTTTAGTGACTGCTGTTCAATCTCATAGTTGTTCTAAAGTTTTGGTAGCTAACGCTACTTTAGCTCAGCAGCTAGCGATGGCTTCTCCTTCTACCTCTCTCTCTCCTACTTTCTCCTGCTCGGTGTGTCAGATGTTCAGTTACTCTTCTGCCTCCTTTAGCGGTAATGGTACATGTAATAAGTGTAGTTTATTTATAGACATGGAGGCGATGCTCAGTGATTTAGAAGTCCGCTCCGCACCTTGGTAGATCAGTCTTTAGCTACTGTAGCTAGCCAGTCCCCGGTAGTCGGTGCGGAACTGCCTGAGTTGGCCTGTGTTAGCCGTCCCCCGGCATCTCCTGTGCAGCCAGGAAAGGGGGGGGGGCTGGGTGACTGTCCAAAGGAGGGATAGTCGTAAGCAGTCAAAGTCCACGGGGCATCATCAACCTGTTCACGTTTCTAACAGATTTTCCCCACTCAGCGACACACCCGCTGAGAAACCAACTCTGATCATTGGCAGCTCCATTTTGAGAAACGTGAAGTTAGCGAAGCCAGCGGCCATAGTTAAGTGCATCCCTGGGGCCAGAGCGGGCGACATTGAGTCTTATTTGAAACTGCTGGCTAAGGATAAACGTAAATACAGTAAGATTGTTATTCACGTCGGCTGTAATGACTCCCGGTTACGCCAGTCGGAGGTCACTAAGATTAATGTTGGGTTGGTGTGTACATATGCAAAAACAATGTCGGACACCATAGTTTTGTGTATAGCCGCATGTCGTCATTCCACCGCTGGTTGTCGAGGTGGTGTCCAGCAAACGATGTGGGCTTTGTAGATCATTGGCAGACTTTCTGGGGAAGACCTGGTCTGATCCGGAGAGACGGCATCCATCCCACTTGGGAAGGAGCAGCTCTCATTTCTAGAAATCTGGTCAAGTTTATTAGTGGACCAAATCCATGACAACCCAGAGTTGAGACCAGGAGGCAGAGTCGCAGTTTAACACACTTCTCTGCCCTTCTATTTCAGCAGTTACCCACCCAAAACCCTACACAGAGTCGCAGTCTAACACACTTCTCTGCTCCTCCATTTCAGGAGGTACTTAGTGAAAATCCTATAGTGACGGTGTCTGCCCCCCGACCATCGAAATTATTTAAATCAAAGGTAAACAGAAGAGGAGCTGTGCATAAAAACCTCATAAAAATTAAAACCACAAGAGCAATAGTGCAAACGAATAGGAGAGTTAAATGTGGACTCTTAAACATCAGATCTCTCTCTTCTAAAGGTGTACTACTAAATGAACTAATATCAAATTATGATATTGATTTATTTTGTCTTACTGAAACCTGGCTGGGTGATGGAGATTATGTTAGCCTAAATGAATCCACCCCTCCCAGTCATATTAATACTCACATTCCTCGAGGCACAGGCGGAGTTGCAGCTATCTTCGACTCTAGCCTACTAATCAGCTCTAAACCTAAACCAAACTATAACTCATTTTCAATTCAATTCAGTTCAATTCAATTTTATTTATATAGCGCCAAATCACAACAACAGTTATCTCACAGCGCTTTTCATAAAAGAGCAGGTCTAGACCGTACTCTGTGATGATATTTACAGAAGCCCAACAGTTCCCACCAAGAGCAGCACTAGGCGACAGAGGCAAACTGAAGAGAGAGAGAAAAACTTCCTTTTAAGAGGCAGAAACCTCGAGCAGAACCATGGCTCAGGGTGGGCGGCCATCTGCCTCCACCGGTTGGGGGTGAAGGAGAGAGAGAGCGAGAGAGAGCGCAGGAGAGGAATAGAGAGAAAAAGAGGGATGTAAGGAGAGAGAGAGGGGAGGGAGGCAGCCTACACAAAGCCTTGTTCTTAGTCTTTCGCACCCAAGTTGGAAATCACTGCAACCAATTCTTTTTGTTATAGTGTACCGAGCACCTGGTCCGCACTCTGAATTCTTATCTGAATTTGCAGAGTTTTTGTCAACTTTAGTCCTTAAAACGGACAAAGTTATTATTGTAGGAGATTTTAATATTCACGTGGACGTTGAGAATGACAGCTTTAGTACTGCGTTTATCTCTCTGTTAGATTCCATCGGCTTCTCTCAGAGTGTTCATGAACCGACTCACTGTTTTAACCACACCCTCGACCTTGTTTTGGTGTATGGTATTGAAATTGAACATTTAGTGGTGTTCCCACAGAATCCCTCTTTGTCCGACCACTGTTTGATAACTTTTGAGTTTGTATTGCTGAACTACACGCCATTGGGCAAAAATTTCTATACAAGATGTCTGTCTGATAGTGCTGTAGCTAAATTTAAGGATGCGATTCCATCAGCTCTAAATTCATTATCAAGTCACAAAGTAACGGAGGACTCCTATGCTAGTTTCAGTCCCTCCCAAATTGATCATCTTGTTGATAGTGCTGCAGGCTCGCTGCGAATGACACTCGACTCTGTAGCCCCTCTAAAAAAGAAAATACTAAAACCAAGACGGTTAGCTCCATTGTATAATACTGAAACTCGCAAATTAAAGCAAATATCACGGAAACTTGAGAGGAATTGGCGTTCTACCAAACTGGAAAATTCTCGTTTAATTTGGCAAGATAGTCTTAAAAGTTATAGGAAGGCCCTCCGTAATGCCAGAGCAGCGTACTACTCATCATTAATAGAGAAAAATAGGAACAACCCCAGGTTTCTTTTCAGCACTGTAGCCAGGCTGACAGAGAGTCACAGCTCTATTGAGCCAAGTATTCCCATAGCTCTCAGTAGTTACGATTTCATGAGCTTCTTTAATGATAAAATTCTAGCTATTAGAGACAAAATTCACCAAGACCTGCCCTCAACTGGCACCAACTTATCTCTAAACACAGGAACCTTAGAAACAGCTGTAGAACCAGATATATGTTTATACTGTTTTGCTTCCCTCAATCTTTACCAACTAACTTCAATAATTTCTTCATCTAAACCATCAACCCGCCTCTTAGACCCCATCCCGACTAGGCTGCTTAAAGATGTTTTACCCTTAGTCAGCACCTCTATACTAGATATGATCAATCTATCTTTATCAACAGGCTATGTACCACAGTACTTTAAAGTAGCTGTAATTAAACCTCTTCCAATCCTCTTCACTTTATATATGCTTCCTCTAGGCAATATTATCAGGAAATATTCCATAAGCTTTCATTGTTATGCTGATGATACTCAGTTATATCTATCGATCAAACCAGATGAAATTCATCAGTTAGCTAAACTTCAAATGTGCCTTCAGGATGTTAAAACCTGGATGACCTGTAATTTTCTCATGTTAAACTCAGATAAAACTGAAGTTATTGTTCTGGGGCCTAAGCACCTCCGTGACGCATTATCTAAAGATATAGTTTCCCTGGATGGCATCGTCCTGACCTCCAGCACCACTGTGAGGAATCTTGGAGTTATCTTTGATCAGGACATGTCGTTTAAGTCTCAGATTAAGCAAATTTCAAGGACCGCCTTTTTTCACCTACGTAATATTTCGAAAATCAGGAACATCCTGTCTAAAAATGATGCAGAAAAACTAGTCCATGCATTTCTTACTTGTAGACTGGATTACTGCAATTCCTTATTATCAGGCTGCTCGAAAAAGTCCATTAAGACTCTTCAGCTGATCCAGAATGCTGCAGCACGTGTTCTGACAGGAACCAGGAAAAGAGATCACATTTCTCCTGTTTTAGCTTCTTTGCATTGGCTTCCAGTAAAATCCAGAATAGAATTTAAAATCATTCTTCTTACCTACAAAGCTCTTAATGGTCAGGCACCATCTTATCTTAAAGAGCTCATAGTACCTTACTACCCCACCAGAGCACTGCGCTCCCAGAATGCAGGGTTACTTGTGGTTCCTAGAGTCTCCAAAAGTAGACTAGGAGCCAGAGCGTTCAGCTATCAAGCTCCTCTCCTGTGGAACCAGGTTCCAGTTTGGGTTCAGGAGGCAGACACCATCTCCACATTTAAGAGTAGGCTTAAGACTTTCCTCTTTGATAAAGCTTACAGTTAGGGCTGGCTCAGGTGAGTCCTGAACCATCCCTTAGTTATGCTGCTATAGGCCTAGACTGCCGGGGGATTTCCCATGATGCACTGAGATCCTCTCTCCTCTACTTTCTCTCCCTCTGTATGCAACCTCATCCCATTATTGCATGTTACTAACACAACTTCCTGCAGGTGTTTCTGGCTCTGGAGCTGTGGAGTCTGGATCTGTGGTTGCGGGTCACCTGCTGCCCCCGTGTTCCTGCTCGACACCCTCTGCTGCAACGACTATTGTTACTAGTCCTGTTGTTATTATAATCATTAACATTACGACTGTTACCATTCACACTACTATAAATATCTGTACCATTTTTCATTTAGTCTATAGCAACATCACCTTTACTGTCTGTACCTCTGTGTGTGGATATTGTGTAGGCTGCCTCCCTCCCCTCTCTCTCCTTCCATCCCTCTCTTTTTCTCTCTGTTCCTCTCCTGCCCTCCATCCCTCTCTCTCTCTCTCTCTCTCTCTCTCCTTCACCCCAACCGGTCGAGGCAGATGGCCGCCCACCCTGAGCCATGGTTCTGCTCGAGATTTCTGCCTCTTAAAAGGAAGTTTTTCCTTGCCTCTGTCTCCTAGTGCTGCTCTTGGTAGGAACTGTTGGGCTTCTGTAAATAGCATCATAGAGTACGGTCTAGACCTGCTCTTTTATGAAAAGCGCTGTGAGATAACTGTTGTTGTGATTTGGCACTATATAAATAAAATTGAATTGAATTGAATTAAAGCCCTGTAGGCCACTAAAGCCCTTTAGGCCTTGTAGGTCACTAAAGGCCTGTAGGTCACTAAAGCCCTGTAGGTGTACTTATTGTAGGCCTTTCAGACGTGTTTAAGATGCAACAGTAAACCTGTAGGTCTAAAGCCCTGTAGGCCTTGTAGGCCACTAAAGCCCTGTAGGTCACTAAAGCCCTTTAGGCCACTAAAGCCCTGTAGGTTACTAAAGCCTTGTAGGTGTACTTGTTGTAGGCCACTAAAGTCCTTTAGGCCACTAAAGCCCTTTAGGCTAGTAAAGCCTTGTAAGCCACTAAAGCCCTGTTGGTCACTAAAGCCCTGTAGGTGTACTTGTTGTAGGCCACTAAAGCCCTGTAGGCCACTAAAGCCCTTTAGGCTAGTAAAGCCCTGTAGGCCACTAAAGGCCTGTAGGTGTACTTGTTGTAGGCCACTAAAGCCCTTTAGGCTAGTAAAGCCCTGTAGGTCACTAAAGCCCTGTAGGCCACTAAAGCCCTGTAGGTCACTAAAGCCCTGTAGTTGTACTTGTTGTAGGCCTTTCAGACGTGTTTAAGATGCAACAGTAAACCTGTAGGTCTAAAGCCATGTAGGCCTTGTAGGCCACTAAAGCCCTGTAGGCCCTGTAGGCCACTAAAGCCCTGTAGGTCACTAAAGGCCTGTAGGTTACTAAAGCCTTGTAGGTGTACTTGTTGTAGGCCGCTAAAGTCCTTTAGGCCACTAAAGCCCTTTAGGCTAGTAAAGCCTTGTAAGCCACTAAAGCCCTGTTGGTCACTAAAGCCCTTTAGGCTAGTAAAGCCCTGTAGGTCACTAAAGCCCTGTAGGCCACTAAAGCCCTGTAGGTCACTAAAGCCCTGTAGTTGTACTTGTTGTAGGCCTTTCAGACGTGTTTAAGATGCAACAGTAAACCTGTAGGTCTAAAGCCATGTAGGCCTTGTAGGCCACTAAAGCCCTGTAGGCCCTGTAGGCCACTAAAGCCCTGTAGGTCACTAAAGGCCTGTAGGTTACTAAAGCCTTGTAGGTGTACTTGTTGTAGGCCGCTAAAGTCCTTTAGGCCACTAAAGCCCTTTAGGCTAGTAAAGCCTTGTAAGCCACTAAAGCACTGTTGGTCACTAAAGCCTTGTAGGTGTACTTGTTGTAGGCCGCTAAAGTCCTTTAAGCCACTAAAGCCGTTTAGGCTAGTAAAGCCTTGTAGGCCACTAAAGCCCTGTAGGTCACTAAAGCCCTTTAGGCCACTAAAGCCCTGTAGGTGTACTTGTTGTAAGCCACTAAAGCCCTTTAGGCTAGTAAAGCCCTGTAGGCCACTAAAGGCCTGTAGGCCTTTTAGGCCACTAAAGCCCTGTAAGCCCTGTAGGCCACTAACGCCCTGTAGGCCACTAAAGGCCTGTAGGTCACTAAAGCCTTGTAGGTGTACTTGTTGTAGTCCACTAAAGCCCTTTAGGCTAGTAAAGCCTTGTAGGCCACTAAAGCCCTGTAGGCCACTAAAGCCCTTTAGGCTAGAAAAGCCTTGAAGGCCACTAAAATCCTGTAGGCCACTAAAGCCCTTTAGGCTAGTAAAGCCCTGTAGGTCACTAAAGCCCTGTAGGTGTACTTGTTGTAGGCCTTTCAGACGTGTTTAAGATGCAACAGTAAACCTAGTCACCGCTTTGAAATGTGTGTCATATTTACAGTGAGGAAAATAAGTATTTGAACACCCTGCCATTTTGCAAGTTCTCCCACTTAGAAATCATGGAGGGGTCTGAAATTGTCATCGTAGGTGCATGTCCACTGTGAGAGACATAATCTAAAAAAAAAAAAATCCAGAAATCACAATGTATGATTTTTTAACTATTATTTGTATGATACAGCTGCAAATAAGTATTTGAACACCTGAGAAAATCAATGTTAATATTTGGTACAGTAGCCTTTGTTTGCAATTACAGAGGTCAAACGTTTCCTGTAGTTTTTCAGCAGGTTTGCACTGCAGGAGGGATTTTGGCCCACTCCTCCACACAGATCTTCTCTAGATCAGTCAGGTTTCTGGGCTGTCGCTGAGAAACACGGAGTTTGAGCTCCCTCCAAAGATTCTCTATTGGGTTTAGGTCTGGAGACTGGCTAGGCCACGCCAGAACCTTGATATGCTTCTTACAGAGCCGCTCCTTGGTTATCCTGGCTGTGTGCTTCGGGTCATTGTCATGTTGGAAGACCCGGCCTCGACCCATCTTCAATGCTCTAACTGAGGGAAGGAGGTTGTTCCCCAAAATCTCGAAATACATGGCCCCGGTCATCCTCTCCTTAATACAGTGCAGTCGCCCTGTCCCATGTGCAGAAACACACCCCCAAAGCATGATGCTACCACCCCCGTGCTTCACAGTAGGGATGGTGTTCTTGGGATGGTTCTCTCCAAACACGGTTAGTGGAATTACGACCAAAAAGTTCTATTTTGGTCTCATCTGACCACATGACTTTCTCCAATGACTCCTCTGGATCATCCAAATGGTCATTGGCAAACTGAAGACGGGCCTTGACATGTGCTGGTTTAAGCAGGGGAACCTTCCGTGCCATGCGTGATTTCAAACCATGACGTCTTAGTGTATTACCAACAGTAACCTTGGAAACGGTGGTCCCAGCTCTTTTCAGGTCATTGACCAGCTCCTCCCGTGTAGTTCTGGGCTGATTTCTCACCTTTCTTAGGATCATTGAGACCCCACGAGGTGAGATCTTGCGTGGAGCCCCGGTCCGAGGGAGATTGACAGTCATGTTTAGCTTCTTCCATTTTCTAATGATTGCTCCAACAGTGGACCTTTTTTCACCAGGCTGCTTGGCAATTTCCCCGTAGCCCTTTCCAGCCTTGTGGAGGTGGACAATTTTGTCTCTAGTGTCTTTGGACAGCTCTTTGGTCTTGGCCATGTTAGTAGTTGGATTCTTACTGATTGTATGGGGTGGACAGGTGTCTTTATGCAGCTAACGACCTCAAACAGGTGCATCTAATTTAGGATAATAAATGGAGTGGAGGTGGACATTTTGAAGGCAGACTAACAGGTCTTTGAGAGTCAGAATTCTAGCTGATAGACACGTGTTCAAATACTTATTTGCAGCTGTATCATACAAATAAATAGTTGTTGTTTTTTTTTTAGATTATGTCTCTCACAGTGGACATGCACCTACGATGACAATTTCAGACCCCTCCATGATTTCTAAGTAGGAGAACTTGCAAAATAGCAGGGTGTTCAAATACTTATTTTGCTCACTGTAAATTTTTTACGCAGCCTGTCGCAGCTGTTAAAATAAACGTGTTTCATTTTTCGTACAGGAGGCTGAACATTCTGAAGATATGGTTTTGTCAGCCTACTGAAATTAAGCTTAACGTGTTTATTTTAGGTTATCAGCTATCTTGTAGATCTTGATCTTCTAGAGTCTGGTCATGTTGCTCCACCTCTTGCCTCCTGTGCAGGTAATGTGGGGACTTATGGAATTTTGTTTTTGTTGCTTTATGAAGTCAATTCAGAAAAATGTCTGGAACATTTCTGAGTGTGCTAAATAAATGAATCTGCTGTGTGAAGTTCTTAAAGTGAGGTGGAACGACCACTTATTCAGTGCCCGAGGCTTTTAGTGTGGAAGAATCAACAGTTCGTATTAGAGGCTATGCCTGTTCATTCACTCACCCACACTGTGTCTGTCTCCTGCCTGAGTCAGCTGCAGCTGCCTTACTTAGTCTGTCTAAAATTTTTAGTTTACTCTTCACTTCTTCTGCTGCCAGGAGACTCGTGCATGTCTGTAAGTGGTCATCAGCTGCTGACTCTGCCTCTTTCATGTGAACATGGTTGGTTGATAAACCCTGGGCTGACTTACCGAGCTGGTAACCAGAGTCATGTGGCGCTGAGCCTGATCGATGAAGTGAAGCAGATGAGGAACAGATATCGTGGTGTGTTGAACTGGCTTTGTGGTTCATGCTGCTGCTCTACGTGAACAGTGAGAGAACTTTGTTCTGAATTAAAGTTTCCTGCTGATGAAGCTGAGACGCTCGCCTTCCACACTCTGACAAACGTTCACACTGGAGTTAGAAAAAGGTTTCTCAGAGTTTATTAAAGTCTACAGAAACAAACAGACATCATTCAAAGTCCACAGACTGTAAATGTTCATGTTTACACAGACAAATGCAACGCTGCATTCTGGGAAATCTCCCTCACAAGTTTATTTAACATCACATGGCAGTTTCATGATGTCAGCATTTCCTAGGCTGTGATTGGCTCAGGCGTTGCAGCCGCTGGTGTAGCAGCAGGTCCAACCGGGTCGAGAACAGTTCTCCAGGGGAGTGCAGCCCTTCTCTCCGCTACCTGCAACAGCAAACAGGAAAGGCATCATCAGCGCTGCCAGACACCACAGCACAATGTTTAAAATCCACATTGTGTTCTTACAAAGGTCCAGAGCTCCGGTCTGTAAACAATCATGTTCTGTTCTGATGCTTCAACGTCACGCTTACACCAACAAAAGGTGGACCTCAGTCCTGAACTTTAATCTTTCAGACCTTCATTTGAAACTGTTCCAGGTTCAGGCTGAGTCCTTCACACGGGGCCAGGGCCGTACCCAGGTTTTAAAAATAGGGGTCCTGGTCCTGCAGTCCATTTGAAATAATGTCAGTGTCAACACACAGATGAAAACTGGACCAGAATCTCACACGTGATCAGTCACAGTATTAAAATGATTCAGGTTCTTCATGCCAAAGAACTGGAGCAGAGTACTACTGCAGTATCTTTCAGGTTAGTTCATCCAGACAAGAAGCCGGAATCCAAACGTCACATGTGGCAGTGCGTCCGGATAAAATATAGCAGAACAAAGGAGAAGTTTCAGCTCAATAATCATAAAGCTAGAAACAGCCAAAAGCCCTGAAGCCAACCACAAGATCAAAAGAAGATAAAACATGTATCCATCAGGACTCTGGGCGAGCAGCAATACAAGAAGAAGAGCTGCTGGGAATTTCTGACTTGGACAATTACAATTTAAAGTCGGAAGAATTATTGAAAAGCTACATCAAACTAATATGTCTATAAATGAAATATATATCAATACATGATATACTAAGAACTAAAATTCTGTTATTCTGACTTGGTATTAAAAAAGAAGAGGAATTTCACTTGATTACTTTATTACAATGGATTTCCCACTGTGAAGATTTCAGAGCAGAAACTCCTGATTGATTCTGTCCCCAAACGTCTGGACACGTCACGTTTTGAAAGATAATGCGTGATAATAGTTTGTCAGCTGAGGTCTGGCTTTGAGAGGTTTAGAACCGGAGATGTTCTGTGTTGTTCTTATGTGATCTGAGAGGATCGGTTCTGACAGCCAGCTGGCTCGTCACCAAACGTTTGGTTAATTTGCTGAAATTAACCAACTTAAATATCTACAGAGACGTGTTCAATGAGGATTTGGGGAAATGTTCCTAATTTACATCGTATCGTTACTGAGAGTTCTTCAAGTGTCCCCAGGTCTGGACTCTGATCAGGGATCAGTTTTTAGGGTGAAAGGAGGGTTGTGATCCTCCTGGTCCTACAGCCTGCATTTTATTTGACCACATTATCAAGGGTTTTTATCAGAATGTTTTTTATTTCTCTGTCTGGACCTTAGAGACCTCATCCTGCGAGCAGGTAGATGACTCACCTCTGGTGTAGCAGGCCTGCTGGACTTTGCTGGTGCAGTCCAGCAGCATGTTGTTGACCATAAGGAAGTCCTCTCCGTGACACTGGATGTGAAACTGCTTCGCTGTAACACAGATACACCTGGTCAGGTAACATCAAGGACTCACCTGGCCACTGTGTGGCGGGTTTATTGTGTGAATGTCCAGGACTTGTTGTGAAGACAGATCCTGCTTAGTTGGAATGATTCCACTGATAAAGGTACGAAGTAGGTCCCTAAATGTACTCACTAAGTCCATCTTCTAATCCTGAGTACAGTGTATTCTTGTATTATCTGTACCTGAGCAGAGCGGCAGCAGTAGCAGCAGCAGCAGGTAGACCTTCATGGTTCTGGTTCTGGTTCTCGTCCACACGACTCCACAAGCAGCAAAAACTGAGGCAAGGAACAACCGAGGCCGACTTTTATCCCCTGCTGACACACACACACACACACACACAGAGTAAATACACACTAAACACACACACACACAGAGTAAATACACACTAAACACACACAGAGTAAATACACACTAAACACACACACATGCGTGTTTTCATGATACAGTGGGTACGGAAAGTATTCAGACCCCTTTAAATTTTTCACTCTTTGTTTCATTGCAGCCATTTTCCAAAAATCAAAAAGTTCATTTTATTTCTCAGTAATGTACACGCAGCACCCCATCTTGACAGAAAAAAACAGAAATGTAGAAATTTTTGCAAATTTATTAAAAAAGAAAACTGAAAAATCACATGGTCATAAGTATTCAGACCCTTTGCTCAGTATTTAGTAGAAGCACCCTTTTGATCTAATACAGCCATGAGTCGTTTTGGGAAAGATGCAACAAGTTTTTCACATCTGGATTTGGGTATCCTCTGCCATTCCTCCTTGCAGATCCTCTCCAGTTCTGTCAGGTTGGATGGTAAACGTTGGTGGACAGCCATTTTCAGGTCTCTCCAGAGATGCTCAATTGGGTTTAAGTCAGGGCTCTGGCTGGGCCATTCAAGAACAGCCACGGAGTTGTTGTGAAGCCACTCCTTCGTTATTTTAGCGGTGTGCTTAGGGTCATTGTCTTGTTGGAAGGTAAACCTTCGGCCCAGTCTGAGGTCCAGAGCACTCTGGAAAAGGTTTTCGTCCAGGATATCCCTGTACTTGGCCGCATTGATCTTTCCCTCGATTGCAACCAGTCGTCCTGTCCCTGCAGCTGAAAAACACCCCCACAGCATGATGCTGCCACCACCATGCTTCACTGTTGAGACTGTATTGGACAGGTGATGAGCAGTGCCTGGTTTTCTCCACACATACAGCTTAGAATTAAGGCCAAAAAGTTCTATCTTGGTCTCATCAGACCAGAGGATCTTATTTATCACCATCTTGGAGTCCTTCAGGTGTTTTTTAGCAAACTCCATGCGGGCTTTCATGTGTCTTGCACTGAGGAGAGGCTTCCGTCGGGCCACTCTGCCATAAAGCCCCGACTGGTGGATTGCTGCAGTGATGGTTGACTTACTACAACTTTCTCCCATCTCCCGACTGCATCTCTGGAGCTCAGCCACAGTGACCTTTGGGTTCTTCTTTACCTCTCTCACCAAGGCTCTTCTCCCCCGATAGCTCAGTTTGGCCTGACGGCCAGCTCTAGGAAGGGTTCTGGTCGTCCCAAACGTCTTCCATTTGAGGATTATGGAGGCCACTGTGCTCTTAGGAACCTTAAGTGCAGCAGAAATTTTTTATAACCTTGGCCAGATCTGTGCCTTGCCACAATTCTGTCTCTGAGCTCTTCAGGCAGTTCCTTTGACCTCATGATTCTCATTTGCTCTGACATGCACTGTGAGCTGTAAGGTCTTATATAGACAGGTGTGTGGCTTTCCTAATCAAGTCCAATCAGTATAATCAAACACAGCTGGACTCAAATGAAGGTGTAGAACCATCTCAAGGATGATCAGAAGAAATAGACAGCACCTGAGTTAAATATGAGTGTCACGGCAAAGGGTCTGAATACTTATGACCATGTGATATTTCAGTTTTTCTTTTTTAATAAATTTGCAAAAATTTCTACATTTCTGTTTTTTTCTGTCAAGATGGGGTGCTGAGTGTACATTACTGAGAAATAAAATGAACTTTTTTGATTTTTGGAAAATGGCTGCAATGAAACAAAGAGTGAAAAATTTAAAGGGGTCTGAATACTTTCCGTACCCACTGTATATCAGGACTTATGAAAAAAACATGACAAATTAGGTCATGCCTTTCCCAAGGTCCAACAGATCTGGGATTCAAATTATTTTCCACCAATTCTTCAAAGAATAAATCCATCTGTTGAGATTTTGTCTAAGGCTATATTTTGGGCAGAACTGATTTTTATGCTACATATGGGGACATGTTTGGGTTTTTGGGACTTGTGAAGCCATAGCAACAAACACTGATATTTCATGTTTAAGTGAATTATAAAATCCATAGATACACATTAAATTTTCAGATTTATGTGACTTATAAAGACTCAGTAATGCACAAAATAGGGTGTATCTGCAACTTGGCTGCTGACTTTTGAAATATTGGCATTAGAAACATAGGTGTACAATAAAAATCTAAAACTTCAAAAATAGTCATGCTCACCATTTTAGAAAACATCTGTTATAAATGCTTATTCATATTTACATGTTGATATAATATAGTAAGACAGAGATATTCAAAAGCTAACTCAAAGCTCATTAATGTCTCTTTGTCATTTATTAATGTTGTAGTAAATGTTTATGTGAAAGAAAGAGGTAACACTTTATGCCTTTCTTAAATTTATAATTAAACCAAAATAGGTGCAAGTATGAAAATGTTTGACCTTCAGTGGGCTAGGGCTGCATTGAGAAAAGAATCCTTCGTCAACTCACAGTCACAGGATTGTGAACTAATAAATGATTCATTTGATATACTTTACTAAAACCTTCAGTTTTATCTGAGTTTAACATTAGAAAATTACAGGTCATCCAGGTTTTAACATCCTGAAGGCACATTTGAAGTTAAGCTAACTGATGAGTATCATCTGCATAACAATGAAAGTTTATGGAATATTTCCTGATAATATTGCCTAAAGGAAGCATATATAAAGTGAAGAGGATTGGTCCGAGGACAGATCCTTGTGGAACTCCATGACTAACTTTGGCGTGCATGGAGGACTCATTGTTAACATGTACAAACTGAAATCGATCTGATAAATAGGACTTAAACCAGCTTAGAGCGGTTCCTTTAATGCCAATGAAATATTCCAGTCTCTGCAATAGGATCTGATGGTCAATGGTATCAAATGCAGCACTAAGATCTAATAAAACCAGTACAGAGACAAGTCCTTTGTCTGATGCAATAAGGAGGTCACCAGTGCTGTCTCTGTGCTATGATGAGCTCTAAATCCTGACTGAAAATCCTCAAATAAACTATTGCTCTGTAGAAAGTCACACAGCTGTTTAGCAACTGCTTTCTCCAGAACCTTAGAGAGAAATGGAAGGTTAGATATAGGTCTATAGTTGGCTAAAACATCCGGATCAAGTTTGGGCTTTTTCAGAAGAGGTTTAATTACAGCTACTTTAAAGTACTGTGGTACATAGCCTGTTGATAGAGATAGATTGATCATATCTAGCATAGAAGTGCTGACTAAGGGTAAAACATCTTTAAGCAACCTAGTCGGGATGGGGTCTAAGAGGCAGGTTGATGGTTTAGATGAAGAAATTATTGAAGTTAGTTGGTAAAGATTGAGGGAAGCAAAACAGTCTAAACATGTATCTGGTTCTACAGCTGTTTCTAAGGTTCCTGAGTTAAGAGATAAGTCGGTGCCAATTGAGGGCAGGTCTTGGTGAATTTTGTCTCTAATAGCTAGAATTTTATCATTAAAGAAGCTCATGAAATCGTAACTACTGAGAGCTATGGGAATACTTGGCTCAATAGAGCTGTGACTCTCTGTCAGCCTGGCTACAGTGCTGAAAAGAAACCTGGGGTTGTTCCTATTTTTCTCTATTAATGATGAGTAGTACGCTGCTCTGGAATTACGGAGGGCCTTCCTATAAGTTTTAAGACTATCTTGCCAAATTAAACGAGAATTTTCCAGTTTGGTGGAACGCCAATTCCTCTCAAGTTTCCGCGATATTTGCTTTAATTTGCGAGTTTCAGTATTATACCATGGAGCTAACCGTCTTTGTTTTATTATTTTCTTTTTTAGAGGGGCTACAGAGTCGAGTGTCATTCGCAGCGAGCCTGCAGCACTATCAACAAGATGATCGATTTGCGAGGGACTGAAATTAGCATAGGAGTCCTCCGTTACTTTGTGACTTGATAATGAATTTAGAGCTGATGGAATCGCATCCTTAAATTTAGCTACAGCACTATCAGACAGACATCTTGTATAGAAATTTTTGCCCAATGGCGAGTAGTTCAGCAATACAAACTCAAAAGTTATCAAACAGTGGTCGGACAAAGAGGGATTCTGTGGGAACACCACTAAATGTTCAATTTCAATACCATACACCAAAACAAGGTCGAGGGTGTGGTTAAAACAGTGAGTCGGTTCATGAACACTCTGAGAGAAGCCAATGGAATCTAACAGAGAGATAAACGCAGTACTGAAGCTGTCATTCTCAACGTCCACATGAATATTAAAATCTCCTACAATAATAACTTTGTCCGTTTTAAGGACTAAAGTTGACAAAAACTCTGCAAATTCAGATAAGAATTCAGAGTACGGGCCAGGTGCTCGGTACACTATAACAAAAATAATTGGTTGCAGTGATTTCCAACTTGGGTGCGAAAGACTAAGAACAAGACTTTTAAATGAGTTATAGTTTTGTTTAGGTTTAGAGCTGATTAGTAGGCTAGAGTCGAAGATAGCTGCAACTGCACCTGTGCCTCGAGGAATGTGAGTATTAATATGACTGGGAGGGGTGGATTCATTTAGGCTAACATATTCTCCATCACCCAGCCAGGTTTCAGTAAGACAAAATAAATCAATATCATAATCTGATATTAGTTCATTTACTAGTACACCTTTAGAAGAGACAGATCTGATGTTTAAGAGTCCACATTTAACACTCCTATTCGTTTGCACTATTGCTCTTGTGGTTTTAATTTTTATGAGGTTTTTATGCACAGCTCCTCTTCTGTTTACCTTTTTAAATAATTTCGATGGTCGGGGGGCAGACACCGTCACTATAGGATTTCACTAAGTAACTCCAGAAATGGAGGAGCAGAGAAGTGTGTTAGTGTTGCGTTTTTTCAGATTTTGAGAAAGGAGAGGCTCAGTCCAATGAAAATTAACAAAAAGATTTAATTACAAAATTAGTGAATAGGGAAATGGCATTACAGAACACACAAATAACACTGCAGTGTACTGGAAAGTTGTTCCTCTTTTCAGATTTACAGCTTACAGTCCTGATTCTCACAAAACTAATTGTTAATATCCTCCAGGTATATGGGCGGG